TACTTTTTAACTATTCTTTATAAACTTAACGTTTAGTAAAATTAAAAAAAAATATAATGAAGTGTAGATATATACATAAACATGTACAAATTTAAGGAGTACGCTGTTCTTTTAAAAGTATATAAGTATATGTAAAAAATTACTTTTAATCCACTTGTTGACGATGCACCAACGAGGACAAGTCCTTCTGCTGTAAATTATTTTCAAAAGTAAAATAGTTAAGTAAATTGTGAAAAATTCAATTCACTTCACTAAGGTTACATTTAATTGCAATTGATAATAGTTGCGGAGACATCAAAGTTGTTTTAATCATTAAATACAGATTGCTTCTTATAAAATAATTAATAACAAACTAAGAAAACATAAGTTTATTAAAAACTGAAATTATTTTTATTTGACGTCTGATTTTATTTGACGTAATTGAAATAAAAATATAATTGTATTTATTTGAAGTCTCTTTGACTTTATTACTTCATTTTAATAATTGAAAAACAAAATATAATTAAATTTAATTGAAGTCTCTTTGACTTCAATAAAATCATTGAAATAAAAATATAATTAAATATATTTGAAGTCTCTTTGACTTCAATTAAATAATCAGTAATTTTTTTGTAATTAATATCTAATAGGAAAAACCAAATTAAAAAATGCAAAATATGAAACGACTTTCGCCCAATCGTCCTTTAGATCCACCCCATTGAAATGGTCAAGTTTCTCCGTCTCAACCCAGGTTAATGTTCAATTAAATAACACCAACCTACCCATTCCATCACATCCTCATTCCCCTTTATCCTCCTCCATCACCCCCAACCACTAACCACCCACTTCCCCACTCATATAATCGTCAACAACATTTAAACTTGTAATAGAGGTTCCACCCTAGGAGAACAACAACACACAAGTAGTATAATTTTAATATCCAATCCATAGCAAAACGACATAAATCTGGAAAGTGATTCTTTGACCCAAGAAATTGTTTAAAAAAACATATGGAACGACCCGATTTCAACATAAAATAAGAGATAATGCGTCAAAAAGAAGTCTATCCAAAAAAAAACTTTAATCATAAAATTCTTAGTACCTTTAAACATCACATTAAAATAAATAGATATTTTACAAACAAGGGAAGTAATTTCTTAACCCAAGAAATATTTTAAACAACAGATGTGCAGTGTACGATTTCAAGTTAATTTCAGATATGGTGCGTCAAAAAGAAGTCTATATAAAAAACTTTAAATCATAAAATCCTAAGTACCTCAAAAAAATCCATTTAAATACTCGTAGATAAATATACATATATTTTCCAAATATGGGAAGTGATTTTTTGGCTTAAGAAATTTCAAGAAAATCTTCGAAAACATATAGCGAGGTCCGATTTGAATTTAATTTGAGATATAGTGTATCATGTGTGAAAAATGTGGAATGCTGGGTGCTGAGACCCAAAGATCAGCAGAGGTTTTGGTAGGCCTCGCATTATACCGAGATGACAGTTATGTCCTGAATACATAACTTAATTAGTACAGGCGGAAATTCTTTGCAATTTCCAATGGGAAGTTTATCGGCGTATTATCTTGATACAAGTGTTTGTAGAGCACCATGGTCTTAAGTCGTTAGGGCAGGTACCCACGCTAAACAACACTGATACTGTCCTTATAACAGATTTAAACAATATTCTTTCTATCTCTGGGTCGTTCAATCAGCTATAGAAATTGACATTGATAACTCTCTAAAGAGACAGAATGCAATCGATTTGAAGCAAATATATATAGTTGTAGTTTGTGCGTTTCTTCTAATAATAGCAAATAGCGTATTTGTTGTTTAATAAATAACAACAAATTAATTAAACTTCAAATTTGAATAATACAATTTAAATCTGACGCTGCCTCAGTGTGTTGCTATGCTTAACGTAACAGGGTTTGAAACCTGACAATTTGAGTTTAGCGTTTACTTCTATAAATACGACAGAAGTTGTCCAGAAAAAGAGGAAAAACATACTGTAGCAGACTTATTCTGTTGCTCCCAACACTAGCTAGAAGCAGGACAAACTTCTTAAATAAATATACATGTAGCTCTCTCAGAGAGGTGTACATTCTGCGCCTTTGTGACAACTTTGAAATAATTCTAAAAGTAAAAACTGTGTAGATGTCGCTTTAAGTGATGAAAACACAATAAACCGGTAGAATTTACTTGAGTTTGGCAATTTGATCACATCAACTTCAATAAAAATCTTAAATCTTAAGCAGTTGGTTTATTTTGCATTAAGGACACAGATACATATATTGTAAAACGAAATAATATACGTATTAATTATTTTTATTATATTTATGTGTATATTTACATTTATATATATGAAAATGTCTAAAATATCTATATCAATAACTTCCAAAATCTTAAAACAATATAAATCCTTATATCTATTTATATATATATATATTACATTGCATCATAATGTTTAAGATGCATTCAGTTATCATGTTAATACTATGTCCGAGCACTACTTTGTATTTTTTTTTTTTATTAAACTTTTAATAAGATAACAATTATTAATAAAATAATCATTACTCTACAACATAAACAGAAATTAAATCTTTTATATAGAAAATGGAAACATATTTCAAGTCCGAGAATATCCTCGTTAGGATAAAATAAAATCGTGTGTTTTTGATTATGATAAAATGGAAAATTCATGAAAACAACGTACTGGGTACTGTAAATGCTACACAATCAAGATATCAAGTACTGAAATGCTTTCCTGGTGCGGTCGTCACACTACAGTAGTAATAATTCAATATTACATCTTTTTTCCCCGTAAACTACACAAATTTGATGTTATTCTATTCTTTTAATTTGTAAATACTGAATGATTACATTCAATAGTGCATCGATACATTTATGTTTTTAACGAGACCAAAACTAGAATTTACGAAAATAATATAAGTTACCTCAAGCATTTAATTTTTGCAATGAACCTGAATATGCATGCAGGATATTTTCATATTAATTAACGAGTCATTTTATATGTTTTTATTATAAAAATTTGTATCGTAAAACTACAATTCATTTTGAAACTTTTACATTTTGCTGGATATTTAGCAAAAATATAGAGTTAGGTTTTTTTTTGATATAACTAACACTGTATAATAATTAGTATATTTTTTTTATATATTTTTGTACCAACTAATTAGTTGGTACAAAAGTTTAATAATACACAACTATTTAAAGTTACTTTAAAAAAATTTCAAAACTAAAACTAACTAAACACATATTATGTACGTAAATTGTTGCTGTATTATAAAATTTGTTTTATACAAATATATATATTTTTAAAAATTTATTTATTATAAAATTTGTTTTATATAAATTTATATAAATTTGTTTTATATAAATTTATATAAATTTGTTTATTATAATATTTGTATGATATAAATTTATATATTTATATTAATTTGTTTATTATAAAATATGTTTTATATAAATCTATATATTTTTATAAATTTATTTATTATAAAATTTGTTTTATATAAATTTATATAAATTTGTTTATTACAATATTTGTATGATATAAATTTATATAAATTTGTTTATTATATAAATTTATATAAATTTGTTTATTACAATATTTGTATGATATAAATTTATATAAATTTGTTTATTATATTTGTATGATATAAATTTATATATTTGTATTGATTTGTTGATTATAAAATTTGTTTTATATAAATCTATATATTTTTATAAATTCATTTATTATAAAATTTGTTTTATATAAATATATATATTTTTATAAATTTATTTATTATAAAATTTGTTTTATATAAATTTATTTATTATAATATTTGATTTATATAAATTTATATAAATTTGTTTATTATAATATTTGTATTATATAAATTTATATATTTATATTAATTTGTTTATTATAAAATTTATTTTATATATATTTATATTAATTTGTTTATTATAAAATTTGTTTTATATAAATATATATGTTTTTATAAATTTATTTATTACAAAATTTGTTTTATATAAACTTATATATTTATAAAAATTTGTTTATTTTAAAATTTGTTTACTATTATTATATTTCTAAAATTGTTATAATAAAATTGACTATAAATTTATAATATATAAATTGTTCATTATAAAATTGTTTATATAAATTATTATTATAATATTTGATTTATATAAATTGGTATTAATATTGTATGATATAATTAATATTTATATTAATTTATTTATAAAAATTATGTTATATATTTATATAAAATTGTTATTATGAAATTGTTTTATATAAATATATAATTTTAATAAATTAATTATTAAAAAATTGTTTGTATAAACTATAATTATATAATTGTTATTATAAAATTTTTTATAAATTTATAATATTAAAAAATTTATTTTATATAAATTTTTTTATTATAAAATTTGTTTCATATAAATTTATATATTTATATAAATTTATTTATTATAAAATTTGTTTTATATAAATTTATATTTTTATATAAATTCGTTTATTATAAAATTATAAAAATTTTTTGGTCAGCCAAAAATTCAATTAATTAAAAATAATTTAAAAAATAAAATTTTTGTTGTTGTAATTCACTACTATTCGAAAAAACCTCTTTAAAAAATTGTTTATTATATCAGTACCTTAAAGATGACTATAGACTGACTATATTTGAAATAATGGTGATAATAAAATATTTGTTAAAATTTAATTAAAAAAGTAATGTATTTTCTTAACAGTGAACAATTAGATCGTACAAAATATAAATAAAATTTAGTCTTTAAAATAGCAAATTTTTTTTTATTTATAAAACCATTTCGATTAATTGACTAAGTTTTTATATATAATCGCCAAAAGATATGATATAAAATAGATATCATATATTAGCGCTTATTTAAAAATAAATAATAAAAACATTACGCAGAGAGAATTTGAAACACAATAATAAAATTAATAAATACAAAATTACTTAATATTAAAAACGACCTACCTTTAGAAATATATGTCGAGGGTTTATTTCCAATTCTGAAAATAAAAAAATGTTATTTTCTATGTTGCTAATAGATCAGTGCCTGAGTTAATGTTTCTTAGTGCCCTGGGGGCAACAGTTATTTGGTGCTCTTTAAAAATGTTTTCAAAAAAAAAATCGCAATTGTAGTATAAATTATAAAATAATAAACTAATTAATTAAGTCTAGAATTAAAAACAACATAATTGTTTCTATAAATATCTCAAAATTTATCTTTCTTTAGGCACCATAAAACACTTTTAAGAGCTACCCTCGCACAAGTCTTGTTGGAACTTCACAAAATCAAATTTTCGTATCTGGATTTATACTTTTTCACTTTTAGTGGTGCCTTCAAGAACATGATGCCTTAAGACAGCTAAACCGTTTGTCTCTATAATTAACACGGCACTGGTCTAATTATAATAACAAAAATATATATGTTTATAATTATTACCCTCCAGTAAAGGTGGTTCATCATCAAATTCAAGATCAGTACCACATTGGGAATCATTAAATGAATCATCAGCAAATTGATTGGGATTATAAAGAGAGGTTTGATTTGGTGCTAAATAACATGATAGCATTGAACTTTGCGTGTTTTTAAAATTCTGAAAGTTTCTGCAAATAAATTAGTTTTTTAAAATAAATATTAATTTCTTAATTTGATTATGAAAACAACTTACAACTCTTGACCGAGATCTGACATTGCAAAGTTATCAACTTGCACCGCTGGATTGAAAGCGTCATGTGGTTTACCGTATGAGGACATGTTACTTTATATAAAATAAAAACAAAAAATTTAATTAATATATGATACGCATATATAAACATTAAAATGATCACCAATAGTTTTTTTTATTAATTTTGTGATATTTAACCATATATCACAAAGTGATCAATGGGACACATTTGAACTCCTATAACACTTATTTTAAGGTTAAGTTAAGCAGAATTTTTTTCCAATTATTTTCGCGTTTTTCTCTATTTTCTCTTAATAATAAATATTTAAGTCATTTCGTTATAAATATCTTAATTGATCAATTTTTTAGACTCATTTCTACCACTGATGTGGTAATACAGTAATATTAACTGTTTTATTGTGAAATACAAAAAAGCGGCATATATCTAGGTTTTTATCACTGGAAATACTTTATTTATATTTATTTATTATTAACTCACTTTTTAGCACAAGTCAAGCAGAAAAAAAAAATAAACAAAAACTTTTAATCCCTTTAAGGTTTTAATTAAAATATTTAGAAGTAATTTTAAAACGCTTAAGCCTTTGTTGACATTTGAACGGCGAATAACGTCATTTTTGGCGAGATCCAATCAGTTGTGCAAGCGAAAAAAATCTAATAAATTTTAGGGTTCATAGTGGGCTATTAAAAAAAGTAGTATACTAAGCATACATGTTTAAAATATTAATATTACTTCAAAAAATGTGTGTATGTTGCAATGCTATGCCGTTTCCGATTGATAAATCTGAGGTAGTTTTTTAATCGAGATTCACTTTTAATGCAATTTTCATGTTTGACTGATAAATCTCAAGCGAAATGTATAACACTTGAGATTAATTTATAACACTTGTTATTTTGTCAAAGTAGCATGATTACGCTGAAATTGACGGCTGTTTGATATGACTTGACAAATAAAATGTAAATTAAAAACTCAATATATGAAAATATAAATGTCTACTAGAATTACTAGAAAACTGTTACTCCAATAATATTTGATTGGGCAAAAAATTTAACAGATCAAGAGTAAGTCTAGATTGTATTCAGATTTACCAGTCGAAAACGCCATTAGAATGTTTAAGTTTAGTGCTGTTCAAACTGAAACATTTCTTATATTACCAGAATATCACATAAAAAAATTAGTTTCAGACAGACACTTTTCTTTTGTTCGAAAGTAAAAAGTAAAAGGTTTGTGTCTATAATTCTAAAATGCACATTTTTAAAAGGATATCAGGAACTTGTCCTCACAGTATATCAGAAACGGCTTACACAGTGACTATCAATAGCTGTCAAACTGTGAGAATCTTCAATGCAATGCTGATTTTACAGTTGTAACTTAAAAACGAATAAAGTCAACAATGTTGATGACTTAGGCATGACATAAATCAGTATTGAGATATATTTACAACTGTGAAATAGCACTTCCAAACAAATATGTTTAGTTAAGTCACACAAAAACAATGCTCGAACCGTAAAAATTGAGTCGGTGTGAACATAATTTTATTAAGCGAGCAGAAAACGCAAAAATGCATTTGAGAATTCTGCGAGTTTTTACAGTTTGATAGTTACTGGTAGTTACTGCACAAACCTCCTTGCGATTTTGATTTTATTCAGTTGTTTCAAATTTTGTATTAAGCATCATGCGAAATATGAATTTCATATATGGAACTGAACTTCTATTTTTAATTCAAAACCAGTAAACATATTTAATGTAGCGGTATAAATGACACTAAGATATGCACCAGTCTCAATAGCACCTAAATCAATGTATTTAATATCATTTTTCCACTGCAGCTAAGAGCATATTCACACTGTTTCATTTAGGCGGTATTACTCACTAACTTCGCTAATGAGGATGATTTACCATACAAATAGTTTTCATATAAATGAGCTCATTATCAATAAATCAACTCATTTAAGGCGAAAAATGTCGAATGCAAATCTTAAAAATAGATTTCCCACAAGGTTAATGACTGAAAGTTGAAATATTTGTCATATATTTCATATGTAAAATGTAAGTAAACAACAGCTGAGCTGTAAACAAACGGACTAAGGAAGAAAGTATTTAATAAAATCTTTGTTTTTATTAATTAAATAAGTAATTGAAATATAAAATGTATATAAATGATTTAATATGTCATTTATACATTTTTTTTTATGTGAGATATTATTAAATGAATTTTATAAAAGTTCTATCAACTACGTTAATATTATAATGTCCACATCCACTCATTTATATAAATGAGCAAGTGCCTAAATGACACTATAAATCTACTTGTGTTAATGAAATTAAGATTTAGTCGTTTACATTGGCATGAACTGTTTTATGCATGTGAAATAGCTTGTTTGTTTATATTTTATATATAAAATTTATGAAGAATATTTTAAATTTCCTTTGTAAGAAATAAATTTTAGGGGTTGCATTTGACATTTTTTGTCTTAAATCAGTTAACTTATTTAAATTTAGTTCATTTATATGCAATCCCTTTGTATAGCAAATTATACCCATTTTTTTTAGCGGTATTAATGAGCAAAACTGCCCAAATGACACAGTGGAAACGTGGTACAGTGTTTCTATAATTATTAACCTTTTTATTAATGTTTGTATTTCGGTTGTAACAATTTAAAATTTTATATTTTGTTACAAATGTTTACATTTACAAAATACAGACATACAGAATTTAAATGCAGAATTTTAAATAAAAATTTAAAAACTCTTTTTTTTTAGTTGGGACTAGAATAAAATCCCTCAGGCTCCGCTTAGTTGACCATTTTTGACCGAATAATTAGTTACTACTAAATTTGTTATACCGTTTCGACATCATTAAGTAATACATTTCCATGCATTTAGTGCTTGGACTAATACATTTCCATGCATTTAGAAAGAGTAACTAAATCAAAGTGGCGATGAGTTAACCAAAAATCAATAGACGAAAAAAATTCTTGAATTTTTTATTTAATAGAAAATAAGAGAAAAGGTGAAAGACCACTTTTAAGATAGAGGACTGACAATAAAAGAATGTGGGAGTTTGTCTTAAACACATATTATAATTATTTATTTAACATGTAGACGGAAAATATATTATTGAAAATAGAAGATATAATTATTTTTTAATGCATATTGGAACTTAATAAACTGAAATTATATAAGAACTTTTGTACATATTTAATATATGAATTAATATATTCCCTTAAGATTTTTAATAAATTAAAAAATATAAATAAAAACTGTGTTTTCAATTAAATATATTATTAGCTATATTTCAACAATTTTTGTTTTTTTTTTAAATATTTATTTATATTTTGTTTTTAGATTTAATAGTAACATTGATAATACATAGGTTTTTCTATTTGTATATATAATAATAATTATTAAATAAAGTAAATATTTTATATAATATTAATGAATTGCAATAAATAGACTACAACTGATAAAATAAACAATATAAATTTTATACTGTAAATACTTTCTTAAAAAGTGTAAATTTAATGAAGTTATAAATTATAGAAACAGTACATTTAATATTAACAACTTTATGTATATTAAATTTTATGAATACTTTAGTGACACACATTAATACGGGCATTTTACTTGAGAGTAAAGCAGTAACTCCTGAGACTCTTGAGGTTAACTTAATCAGGATTTATTTACTTTGGTTTTATATTATGATACTTTTTTTGTTTTGTTTTTGTTTTATGAACCATCTTTACAATAAATTAATAAGTATATCTTTTACATTGTACGTATTTATATATTTAAAAACATTTATTAGCTTAAACCGTTCCAAAATTAAATAATTATTATCTACTAATTATTGTTCGTCTTTTTAAAATAAAATTTAACTAACATTCGTAATTAAAATTTTAGAGAGGTTGCTTTAACAGTTTGTTTAAAATAATATTAATTTTCTATGTAATATTAAAGCATAAAATTTAAATGTTATTTAATCTTCCAAGTTCCTGAAGGCTTGTTGTAGGTCTTCATGTAACTGATCATAGTCTGCCTTAATTTTAGTCTCACCGTCTTTAACGGGATCCTATGTGAAAAGCAAAATTTAATTTATGATAAATTGATTTGCAACAGTTCATACCTTAAACTTCATGGACGACAACTGATATAGAATGTTACCCATAGCGTCACGTATAACATTCCATGTGATCTTGTTGTCGGATTGGGCAGTGGATTCAACAGCATGGCGCGCTAATTCGTAAAATGACATTATGTTACGCAGCATACCCACAGTCTTGTAAAATGGGCAGACTCGGTCATAAGGCGAATATGAATTTTGTTGCAAAAAGTCATCTTTCAACAATTTTGCAACTTCTAATGTGATTTTATCTGTTTCCGCTAACGAAGCCTTGCCAACTAGTTGTACAATTTCTGACAAATCTTCTTCTTCTTGCAAGATTTCCTTAACTTTAGTACGTAAAGGTACAAACTCGGGGAAGTTCTTGTCATAATATTCATCCAGTGCGCGCATATATTTTGAATATGATATCAACCAGTTGATTGAAGGAAAATGTTTACGTTGCGCCAACTTTTTATCCAAGCCCCAAAATACTTGCACAATACCCAAAGTAGCTGAGGTAACAGGATCTGAAAAATCACCACCAGGTGGAGATACAGCGCCGACTATTGATACTGAACCCTCACGCTCAGGGTTACCCAAACATTTAACACGACCAGCACGTTCATAGAAGGATGCTAAGCGAGCACCTAAGTAAGCCGGGTAACCAGAATCAGCAGGCATTTCAGCAAGACGTCCTGATATTTCACGCAAGGCTTCAGCCCAACGAGATGTTGAATCAGCCATCATAGCCACGTTATAGCCCATATCACGAAAATACTCAGAAAGTGTAATGCCTGTATAAATAGATGCTTCACGAGCAGCCACAGGCATGTTGGACGTATTCGCTACCAGTGCAGTACGTTTCATTATAGATTCCACTACACCATCAATTTCGCAAGTCAACTCAGGAAAATCTCGTAATACTTCTGACATCTCGTTACCACGTTCACCACAACCGACGTAGATAATCACATCAGAGTTAGAGTACTTTGACAAAGCCTGCGATAAAGTAGTTAATAGATTAACTATCAGCTATCGTATACTTATTAAAATTATGAATACCTACTTGTGAAATAACTGTTTTACCACAACCAAAAGCACCAGGTATAGCAGTGGTACCACCTTGAACACATGGAAATAATGAATCAAGCACACGTTGCCCGGTAAACAGTGGATGATTTGCTGGTAATTTTTCGGTAACTGGACGTGGTTGTCGCACAGGCCACACTTGTAACATGGTATGTTTAGTAATTTCACCATCAAATTCAGTTTCCAGTACAACATCTTCTACATTATAATTGCCCGCTGGCGCTATGTAGCGTACAGTGCCTTTAGCGCGTGGACTTACAATCATGCGATGCTTAACTAATGTGTTTTCATGCACAATGCCATATAAGTCACCACCAGTAATATGTGCGCCAACTCTGACATTCAATGGATTAAAGTCCCAGCTTTGCGTACGTGACAATGCTGGTATATTAACGCCTTTTGGTATGTAAATGGAACTAGTTAGTTCACCGATGTCTTTCAGCGGACGTTGTATACCATCAAATATACTCCCCATAATGCCAGGACCTAACTCGACGGATAATGGTTTTCCAGTACGCAACACTGGATCACCAACAGTTACACCAGATGTTTCCTCATATACTTGTATAGTGGCCATGCCACCCTCTAGGCGAATAATTTCACCCACGAGTTCATAGTAACCAACACGAACTAATTCGTACATAGCAGAACCAGACATACATTCAGCAGTGACAACTAATATCATTTTAAAATAAATAAAATAAATTCTTAACAAATGTACTAATTGTGACAACTAAAACTATATTTAAAATTATATAAAATATTTTACTAACAAATTGTTACAATAATTATTTACCTGGCCCTGATACTGCGTAGACACGTCCATATTGGGATTCACTATCCTCGTCACTGAATTTTTTTAAATTCGACATCTCTACTAATTTAAAATATTCTGAAAGCCAACATAAAAAATTTAATTATAGTAATAATTTATATTATATTAATAATACTGAAACAATAATTAAATATATTTTTTAAAACAATATTAATTAATATTAATATTAAGACATTTCTTGTATATAAAAATTACCACAGATTAAATACGCAATTTTACTATACCTAACACTTGAGAACTAGATTTATGTGATTGAGATCCTTAAAGATAAAAGACGACAATAAAAATAACATTATTAATTTATTAATAAAATCATTATTAATTAATAAGATTTCGTTTATTTTAAATACAGTCAAACTTCCGTAATTCGAACTTCTATAACTCGAATTCACTATAACTCGATCTAAAAAGAGTGCAACAGGGTTTCAGAGAGCAAATTACATACATTTCTGCTTCTAGAACTCGAACTTCTGTAACTCGCATAAAGATATTGTCAGAAATAGGAATATGGGAATACGCTGATATCTATGCAAAAGCATGGAATTCCGCGAATATGACCTCTAAATTGCAAACGCTTGATCAGGGAGTAATTCAAAATTTAAAGTATAATTATCGCAACAGAATCCTAAAAGAAGTACTAAAGCGTGTAGAAGCAACCAAAAAGGAGGATATTAAACTTATAGATTGTATAAATCATGTAACAAAAGCTTGAGATATTGATGTAAGTAGTCAAACGATAGCGCACTGCTATAAAATGCTGGATTTGGCTAATTTTCTACATGGGACGAATAGGACGATATATTCCTTTAGTTTTCTTGAATAATATTGATGTAGACCCTGAATTGATGGAACATAATTATAAAGCGTAGTTTAAAGTAAATAAAATAACTTCCAATGCTACTTAGATTGACAATGAAATTCGTACATCTATAGCTTTCCTACAGATAACGATATTATTAAGCATTATAGCTCTGAATTAGTGGATACGATCCTAAGCGCAACGGAAAGTGATGATGAGGTTCGGTGGATGAAATTGTTTATCAGTCTTCCAAGAATTAAGTAGAAGACTCATTCAAAATTCTGAATTTTTATTTGCATACAAATGATACTATAACTGGTGAATACATTTTCGCTAGCGAAAATTTGATAACAAATTGATGCGAAAGCGCTTATTGGACCCATGGAGGAGCACCACATGAACCAACCAATAAATCAACAGTAACTAAATTACTCGAGATTGGTAAATTGAGTTCTTCCTGTGCTGAACTTTTTAATAAAAAAATGGGAAGAATCTACGATATGCAGGCATCTGTATGCAATTTGACGACACACCAATAGAAGAAAATCGAACTCTCTCATAGAGATGCCCCTTAGAGATATCAGTCTTACTTACAGGAGATTGTATTCTAGTTAAACCATGCTAGGAGACTAAATCACCCTTTCAGCCATATCTGACGCAGTTGCGGTGAGGATGATGAGAGTGCCTCTTACCTGCTTTGCTTCTGTCCGGCACATGCACGGCGCCGCCATAACATTTTAGGAGTGTTTTTAAGAATCTTGGCGAACTTTAGGATCTCCCTTTAAATAGAATCATAAGCTTTTCGAAAGGTTCTAGATGGTTTTAACAATTGGGTTTTTAATAATACGGCACAATGGGTCTAACCCAACCTGCTTCCTAAATTGATTTTTCCTGATTAAACGATTTTGATATGGATTTCATTTATATCGCTTTGTCAATATATGCGTCATTTACGAACACTTACAAAAACCTCTTGGGACAAATTGTGAAGAATAAAATGCTTATTCGATCGTAGATTCCGGTACAATTAGCTAAAATATACAAGTTGTATTTTTACGATAGATATATATTTTTAAATTGCAAAATATGCAATAAAATCTTTTTATTGACAAAGCTTCGAGTAAACAACAATACAATAATTGATGGTAACAATCTCAATTGTCCCGCTTTTTGATCCACTATGGCTTAGTTTACAGGTTTTATAAACATTTTGAAACCAAAATTTGTTATAACTCGACCATAGTTGCGTTGAAAGTTCAAAATATCAGTCAAAATGATTAGATACTAATGGCGGTAAATCTGGAGCAAAATATATGACACTCCAGATTAAATTATAACACTCTAGATATTTTGCCAGAGTAGTAAGATTACCCTAAAATTAACAGCTGTTTTATACGAAATAAAATAAATAAAGTGTGTTTCGATTCGCTATATGTTTTTGTGAAAAATATACCTGCATCCTACAAATGTTTGTAATTTCAACAAACGGATGTATTGCGCCCTGTAGAATCTAAACGTATTGGAATAAGTAAGTTCGTATGAAGTACCAGATCACGGCTCAGTCAAATAATTGATGTAAACAACCTAACCTTCAAACGATGATTAAAATTGAAATGAAAGTTGTCACTAAAACTATCAATAGAGAAAAAATATTTCAGATTTTTAAACTGCACATCTTTTTTTTATTTTTTAATTTTAGATATTTTTTGAGCAATAATTTTTTCTTAATTAAGCAATGATTTGAAGTCAAGAAATTTCGTAACAACAAATGTAAAATAAATGTATTACTGATAGACAATAAGTACTGGATACATACGTACATTAAGGCAACACATAAAAATATTTAATTAAATTTTCGAAATAAATTATTTTTTCTTTACAGATTTCGACAAAAGCAATTGAATGATTTAGAGATACGTCAATGATTTAGAGAGCTCACGATAATTGAATAGAAAATATTTAGAAATTTTGAACAAGATATTACAAAAAATTTAACAGCAGTTGCAGAAATATACTTTTACATATATAAAGGCAGAGTTATATATAACAAGCGTAAACTCTGAAGGCATGACGGTAGTCATACCTGATATAAGCCTAAATGTAGTTTGAACACCATAAGAGTAAAACCATTGTACCATCATTTGTCTATATACAAGCATCGCTTTTTCCTGTGGTATCACGACGGGCCATTATTTGTGCTCAAGTGGGCTTTCTTGGTAAACAAGGCCGCCACTCCAATCTAACCAACCTAACCTAATGTACTATCTGTAAAAGAAACGAATAAGTTTTACTATCAACAATTTATTGAAAACAACAAGTTCAAGCATCAATCATTTATGCAGGAATGACGTAAATATCGAAACTACTGGAAGAATATTTTCTGGTCAACGCCAAATTATTCCCAAAACATATATTACATATATATGTCGTGGTTGTGGCTCAGCGGATAAGGAGGAAACTGTACTCCACCTAATGTGTTAGTGTTCATAATTGGCTAAGAACAGACTTAAAATCTTTGACCTTTCTTATCTTATCGATCTGACAGAGCTATCATTTTGAAAAATTTGGAACTCCAAGTTCATAGACTTGTAAGGTTGGTTCACTTTTACTTGAATGGGGTAGTCGTACGTTTGGGCTTTGCTGGTACGCAGACCACTCCGGTACGTTCAGAAACCGCCACACTTAAACGAATAGCTTAGCAACAAGTTATTATTAAATGACGAAAAATTGTTAATTGTGGTGAATGAAAATATAACTGAAATTGTTTTTAAAAAACTAAGAAACATATACAGAACCATTAATAAATAATAGAATAGTGACAACATTACCAACAGCTACCTGCTACCACTATAACCATGATTGTATAATCTTTATATTGTATATTGTTTATATATTGTACAGTGTGTAATTTATTGTTATTTGTTTGTTATATAAAACTGATTTTCTAAATAGATTCCATTATAAATAACCACCTTAAATGTTTCCAAGAACAGTTGTAATAATACTCCACCTTTAAGCAGAAGTCAAACAAACTTGAAAACGTCGGCGATATTTATATAGAGCACTATATAAAAATCAAAATAAAAATATAAATTAATTTACAATCTTTTATTTTATGCATATAAGTCTTTTCCAAAAACAGAAACATTCAAGAAAGATAACTCACAACTACTCTAAAAGAAAATCTTTCTCTTATTGTTAATTTTTTCTTGTCTAGAGTGACGCTTCTTTATAACAAAAAGAAACTATTTAAAAGTTATACGGATTCGAATAGCAAAGAAAAGACAGGAACAAAAATTTTATTTAATTTATTGAAATTTAGCTGATCATACAACGCGAATTCGAGTATTACCAAGTACTCATCATCAATGATCTTAGGAAATATTCGAATTTCTTAATTAGTTTATAGTCCGTATATAATTTGTTTGGACTACAAGTGTAAACTTTTTGAAATTTTTAATGTTATTTTTTTGAAATTGGTTATATACTAACTAGAATTTAATCAAAAAATTTAAAATTACTGTTGTTTTATTTATTATTAGTATTTATTATTAGTAAATAATTCATGTTAATAAGATTCCACTGACCACTGGTCAATCAAAAATTCATTATATTAATAAATAATAAAATTTTGTTGTTGTGATTTACTACTGTTCAAAATACCCCTCTATTGAAAAAAATAGTTTATATTAAGAATTTAGTTTCTTTCGTTAAAATGGTCTTTAAAATAAAATTAATAAAATTCTTAAATCGATTTTCTATCTGACACCACAAAAGATCAACCATGGTCGCAATGCTTCGCTCCATTGGGAGCTGGTACCCCGTTTATTTCTATTCCTATTCTATCTCATAAATGTTATGGAATAATGTCTATTTAGAATTAAACAACACATTTAATAAAATTTTGTTGTTGTGATTTACTACTGTTCAAAATACCTCCCTATTGAAAAAAAAATAATTTCTATTAAGAATTTAGTTTCTTTCGTTAAAATGGTCTTTAAAATAAAATTAATAAAATTCTTAAATCTATTCTCTATCTGATTAATGTTATTAATGTTATTTAATGTGTTTTTGAATTATTTGCTCTTCCGTGGAACGATGCTTAATTCTTGGAATTAATATATTTACTTACGTAGGCAGACTTTAATTGGAAGATGGTCATAACTGCTTTATCATGATAAATACAATTTTAGTAAAAATAAAAACAAGTTTATATAACTATTTTCGCTATATGAGAAGCGGTTATTACAAATATGTATACTGAAGATGTTATCTAGAATTGTTTTTAAGGAAGAATTTATTCTTAATCCTAGTCTTAAATCGTAGTCTTGAACATAATTTTTTAAGACCAATATCAGTTATTTGAATTTAATTTTTTATGCAAATTTTTTGCTGATAGTGAAAACGTCCTCGTTCGCAATTTTATTGATTTTCCTTTATCCTTTATCCAAATAGTATTTTGTTGTCTTTCAGTGCTTAATACTTAATAATAATTTTGTAAGATAAACTTTATAATATCGAAATTTGTTTTTTACATTTAATAACAAAATTTATTTCTTATTGGAATCACAACAAATTACCAAACAAAAAGATATTAAGGAAAAAAACTTAATTTGCAATTGTTTTTCTGCTGTGCCCACAGCCTACACCGACCTACACCGACTTGCACATTACACAGTTTTTGAGAATGCTGTGCTCTCGCAACAACACCCTGCACCCCACGTAAGACACTGGTCGAGCATTAGCGTACACATACACGGCATACACTTGGCATACACTTGATATATGTGCTCTTTGAGAAAATTTGGGAAAGTGATAATAAACATTCAAAAGCTTGGCGAAGAAAATTTCGATTTTTCACCATTTGACACTTGCAGGTTTTTATACTGTTTTCATAATTTCTTGTCCAGGCAAAGATGAATAAAGACTTTTCACTATACCCAAATATTTTCAAATTGTTATATATTTTATTGAAATTAGTTTAATTTGACTAATTTTTATTGCATATTTTTGTGAATTAAAACAATTTTTATTTGAATTTTCACTCACTTTTTTACAGCGCACAAGTATTAAACACACTTCCACTGCTGAAAATACACACAACTACTGATTCGTGGTGTGCTCGAGTTCTATTTGGCCTGCGACTGCAGAAGGAAAATGACAACTGAATCGATTATTGAGGGTGGATTTTCGCAAATCAACACAAAACAAACTTCAAGTTTGGTGGTGAAATTCTTTGACACAATCGCAGTGCACCCTACTCTAGATAATTATGCGTTCAATTAATTTATGTTTGATATTAGAAACTAAAAAATTCACTAAAAAAATCCACTATAAAATCACTTGATATATCTTCTCGAATCTGTGTATCTGTATATCTGTGTTGCGTTACTGATTTGTTGTGTACGTTCGTACTAGACGTGAGTATATTTGCAGGAAAAGGTCACCTCTTATTGTACAGAATGTTCGTTAGACAATAACATTGTGTAGCACCACCGTTCAGACTGTGAAGACTGTATTTGTCAGAAGGTTCGAGCATATAACACGCAAGATTTCACTTTCAATTACTCTATTATTATTTAATTAAAGCAAAAAGAGTATACAATCATTGCTGTTTATGCTCGATTTAATTGGATTTAATTTGGAAAGCAAAAATTTATATAGAATATATGCGTGATATACGCGTGAATAATTTTAATTTTGAAATAAAAATGCAAAACAATATAAAATGTAAATAATAAATAAATATATAGTTGGACATAAGCGTACCACGAAAACACGACAGAAACATCTTTGTATTACTAACAACAATAGTTCACCCTATATATAAGAGGAAAACAGCTATGCGCAACTATTTACCATAGCCTTAGCGCCGGAAGGCTACCGGAACTATTTTCTTTTTCTTCATTTCATTGCATTCCTAGGTTACAGTTGTACCTAACGAAGAGATTCTGTGTAAACGTGAGTTTCGCACCTCCAAATCCGTTATGTGTGCTGTCAGAACAGGTGGTTTTGCCGTATGTGTAAGAGTACCACTTGGAGAGTGTGATTCCATCGGGTTTAGACTCATGTTTTATTTTCAGAAAATAGTTAAAGAATGGAACAAAGCCCTGACAATGGGTTACAAGCGCAATGCCAGTCCTGTAAACTTTGCTTGTAGTGACAGATCACTTTTGAATAGGCCGCTCTTAACATGGAGAACAGACGCCTTTTGCAGCCGCTCATTATGAGTACCGTCACCACGTTGCGGACTATACTTAGCTTTATTACTCCCCATTCGAACTTACCAGGAAGGGGGGACCTACCAGTAGCATGCTAACGCCGGCATCACTCGAAGATTCTACGTAACTACTGGACCTCTTCAACCTGTCAAGGTGGCAATCCCCGAAAAAGTAACGGAACTAAAGACAAGATTTAACCAACATAACAAAAAGTGATATTATATATCATATTTTTTTTTTATTTTTTATACTTAACACTTGACAAATTCATCACCGAGATGAGTTATATTATTTGAGACTGCTGAACTTAAATCTGCATACTGATTTTATTGTAGACATCTGGGCCTCTAATAATTACGGATTAAATTGCAAAAATTTAAGTTCACTACTTTTCGAAAACCTCTTTATGAAATATACTAGTTTCTATTAAATATAATAATCATTTCCGTCAAAAAAATATGAAGTTAAATTATAACTTATATAATTTAACTTCATTCGCCCATGCGAATCGTGGAGTAACATTAACATGATTTTCTCAGTACAACATTCCTAGATTAGGTTCTATACATAAGAATTAATATATAAAACATGCAAGAAATAATGCCTCTACAAACAGAATAGTATTGAAATTTAATAACTAAAAATACAAAATATAATTAATTAATTCAATTATTCTACAGCTGGTTTATGATTTCGTTCTAATATAAATATAGCAAGTGAATTTGTTAATAAAACTTTCCGAATATAAAAGTCAAGTACGGTTTTGGTTCAGTTGGTTAAGGTGCGCTGAGTCTGAGCTTCAAATTTGGCGGGGCACGAGTTTGATACCTGGTACCTGCAGTCTCAAAAAATTATTTACGAATAGTTAAATACAAGAATTACATATTTCCAATACCACTGATTATGGGTATTTGGCAATACTCAAAACAGCTGTATAGTCAACCAAAAATTCAATTAATTAAATGATATAAAAATATATTTTTGTTGTTGTAGTTCACTACTTTCCGAAAACCTCTTTAAAAAATTTAAATTTTAAAAGGTTAAAAATAATGTATTATATTAAGAGGAAACAATTGCGTGTTTCCAACAGACTTCTCACGTATAAATAGATGAATATTTTTAACTTAGACATCTTTTCTCGAATTCCCTTATTCCTTCTCAAAAATAAGGGTTTTTTAATATAAAGATTTATTATTTTATTTTATAAAATTTATTTTTCTACCCACGAAGAAGAAAGTAAATTCATTATTTTCACTATTTGTTCAAAGTTTTACTTTTTGCTATTGATCTGTTTGTTGTTGTAATGTATCCCTCTGACTGAGTTGAGCCCTGAACCTTGAGCCATAATTACGTCGAAAAATTTAACTAATTATTATGCAATCAACTTGCTAACTTAATATTCCGTCATATAATAGGTATTCCGTTTTGATAGATGCCATTTAACTTTGTAAGTATATGCTTCGGCTCTTACTGATTGTTTGCGTTAAGGGAACTATAATTTTAAACTGCATACATACGTCCACTTCAAAGAAAAAAATTAAATAATTTTACAGTTTCCTGATGGTATCATAACCACTAATAGATTATATTTTTGTCCTATGACAGTTGTCAATTATTTTATGCAATGTTCAGAACAAAAATAATTATTGCTTGGTCATTGATGAAGTAAGCTTTAGCCTGTATCCGAAAACGGTCTTCTAACCACAACAACGGAAAAGAAATTCCAAAATAAAGTTCCTCCAAAAGAAGCCACAGTGACTAGTTGTCAGTGTGTCGACAGCATATGATTTGGTTTTAGGAAAACTATGCATGTTACTTATAGAGAAGAGTTGGATTACAGCAAATTAAAGACAAGGTTAGATTTTGATGTTGAACATAACGATTAGATAGCATTCAATAATTTTGAACATACCTATATTATATTTAATTAATTTACATATAAGACCACTACCACCGTTAGAGTTTTTTGACCTTAACTTAGGGTTTAAATAAAATTAATTTCCACACTAGATAATGATTAAGTTGTCTTGATTTGTATTCTCCGGGCTCAAGTTACTTTCTTAAAGTAACTTAATCTGTTTGTTCAATTTAAGTGAAATATAACTATATATGAATTTGCCTTATGAAGGTGTGATTTATTGCGCTGGTATCTTGACACCATCGAATTTTATTTTTTGGATATTCTATAAAATTTCAACTGTTTTAGTGAATCTTTCGGTATCACATAATAATATGTGATAAGGTTTGATGTGAAAAGGTTGAAGGTTTGATAATATTAGCAACAAACACCAATTGCCTGTCTATTGATATTCAGATTAAACTCTAATTAACAGCCCACAGATAATATTTCACAATATACCCGACTTTCTAAATTAAATTCGCTGTACACAATTCAATTTGCATTAAAAATAAAAAAGGGGAAATACTGTTTTGATTTTATTTTTTTAAAAGTGAAATTTTAAAGACAAGAATATTGTCTCTTTCAACTCCTCTGGTAACGTTTGTGACACTCTGTATGTTGACTTTCGGCTCGTATTAAAAACGCCCCATTGCTATTTCAACGACCGATATTACTTAATATCTTTAGGACATTATTAATATGTGTTTGCAGTGCTAAATTGTTCAGCACACTAGATTGTATGACTTGAAGTGCTCACAGACTTTTCGTTTTCTCAAATTTTCATTCGATAAGCTATACTTTTTGATATTTCACTTTTCCATTCCACTATCATTATTTATAGCTCGATCATCGCCTTCAAGGTCTATACGATCTTCACGAAATCAACCAAATCAGCCTGTGCACGAGCCATAGTGTGAGACTTGAACCCAGTAAAACTACGTTTTAGGAATGAATGGGTGGTACGAGACATACATTCGGTCCTATATATATATTATACGTTTATAAATTACTAAGTTACTATATTATACATATGTATATACAGCAACTTTATATTAAATGTCGAATGCCTATGTTTTGACAATAATTATATTATGGAATCAGTCTCATTAGATCTGGAATAAACTCTCTGTGTCCAGTTTAGTTTGTCTTACTCGAAAAATAATTTAAGTAACTCGCATTGTTGTTGGTGATCTATTTGACTCCTATTTTTTACTTTTTTATAATATTTGTGTATTTTCCCATTTCAATTTTACTCTACTTTTATTGATTTGGATTTACATTATATATAGCTTCTGTATTTTTAATTAAATGCGGAGATGGATAGATTCAGGGTTTCGAGTATATTTTCTGAATTTAAAGATATTTCGAGAAATTTTTTTAATGTACAAAGTACACTAGTAAGAAAACCTACAAATGAATTTAAATACAACTAGTATAAATATTTTTACAATAATAACTAAAACGATAAATAATAAGACTACTATTAATAGGCTTAAGGACTTTGAAAATGAAACTCTTCTAGTTCCAAATGCAGACATCTTAATTTTTACAACTTTGATGTACCTCCATTGCGATAGTTAAGTTTGCTACCATTTTTTTTTGAATGTATCTATTATTTTAATTTAGGTCGTGTGCGAGTTAGGCTAAGTTGCGTTCTAAATGAGGGAAATTCTAAGTTATGCCGATAATGTAGTGATGTGTCGATACGTGTTGATAAATGGCTAAATGTGTGCAGTGCAAAAAATCCCAAAAAATCTCCCATTTGGTTTAGCATCAACTTAGTCTAACTCGCACACGTCCTTAATATACATCTAATATCATTGTTATTTCAATTTAACTTGAAGTTCTGCCAGCTCTTGAGAAACCTAAGTGATACAACTTCAACTAATATGTTTATCAACAATTAATAATCCATTTTGATGTATCGTGCAGAAACATATAATACAGAGTTTTGAAGTATATAATTCATATTATTTGCCTTAATGCCAGCACTAATTACGATATTAAAATTTAACAATAATTAATTGGAAAAGTAATTAATCAATCCAATTCAAATTAAATTAAATAGAAAACCATAATAACAATAAAAGTATACATCAATCCATTTTTATATATTGTTAATTACAAAATATCATCAATCCATGCAAATCTAATACAGTTATATGTCATTTAAAATTTAATATAAATAAAATTAATATAATACAATAAATTATTATAAGAAATATTAAATAAAAATTAATTTAAAACCATCCAATAATCATATAAAGCCGACAAATTTACAGTTTAATTTATAAGACAAACAAATTAAATATGTATATTCAGTATCCAAGAACAGATTTAATTAATAAATTAAATACATAAAATTTTGAAATAAATTTGATAAACAGCAAAAATCAAATTTGATTAATATAAACTTTGATATTAATTATTAAGTTATATAATAAATATATTTATTAATTATGTAAATTATATATAAATATATTATATATAAATGAATTATTAAATAAAATGAATAAACAACATGAAATGAAACAAAATTTGTAATTAATATATAACCAAACGTACGAAAAATATTTTAAAAATTTTAACATATATTAAACTAATAATAATATATGTAAATAATAAATTTAATGGTATGTGAAACGTATATGCAAATTCCAAATAATTTATGATATGTCATAATAATAATATTTATATATAATTATTAAAAAATATTTACTAAGTAATAATCAATACATAAGAATTTTATTTTTCATTTATATTTTTAACGTCTGTAATATATAATCTACTATTAAACATAATTATTTAAAACATAGAAAAAAAATTAAAATTGCATTTATAAATTATATTAATTATATTAACATAAAATTGTGGATGTAACTTACTGTAGCTAATTAAAATTTTTTAATTACAAAAAATTAATCTTATCAGCATTTAATTTGTTTGGTATACTTTTTTTAATGAAATCGTAAACTGTTATACGGCAGCAATATTATATCATTTTTATAACAGTATTCTTTAAGTTAAAACATAGTTCTCCATGAAAACTTTGCATATTTATGAAATTTTATGCAAGCATTTAAGTAAAGTAATATAATATAAATATTAAATGATATATTAATGATAGTGTTATTTTCAATAAATTAAATTATTATTTGCTATTCTTAATTTCAAAGTAAAAAACAACTTTAGATGTTGGCAATACCCTTCATGAAATTTATCAAAAAAATTTATTAAAAGAAAATAAAACAATTTCTCTAACGGCATTTTACGTGCATGTCATTTGAACAATAACAACTTATAGTCGCATTTAACAAAAGCTGTATTTTATTTGGCACATAATACTTTATTTGATAAATAAAATATGAAATTATTTAAAACAATATGCCAACATGTAAGTGTTCCCATATTCCATGAGCTATTGCGATTGTCCAATTTAAATGACGAAAATGATATCGTGGTAAGTCCAGTGATAATGAAAACAAGCAATAATAGTTCAATTTGCTCAAAGATCTCATTAATGCTTATATATTTTTTTAATTTGTTAATAAAATTTACAAGTTTAAAATTTGCGAACAAAAAATATCATAGCGCTTTTTGTGGAGCGTAGCTAAAGTTTGATTAATAATTTCTTTTACTGGTAAATAGATTTGCGTAGAATAATTTTCATATAAATAAATTAATAATTTTTGTATTATTGTAATTAAATCTTTCAATATTTATTTTATGTTTAAGTAATATTCAAATAAGTGGTGTTTGTAATCATTTTTTAACCATAAATAAAATGCTTTTTATATTGAATTAAATAAACAAAAATTGATTTAACATCAAGTTTTTGATCATTTAACTTTAAGTTGTATTATGTTTTTTTAAATTATATTATTGATAAGGTTTTTAATATATTTTAACTTTAAATGGTTATAAGTACAAATTATCTGCCTATTATTTCAAACAAATTATGTACACCGCTTATTAAAACATGTTCTCAACTATTCGGCAGTCTGAAAACTAGTGCTTTCTGAAGCGCAACTATATACGGTGACCGTGAAAGACCAAAGTCTCAGGAAGTATTTTGCTTTTTATAGAACTTCTATCGGATATTAATTGAGTTTAAGAATTAAATCAGTCACATTCCGTCTGTCCATCCATTTTTTCCATTTACAAACAACAGGTGATAGCATCTCGACTGTCTATATAATAATTTTCATATAAAAATCTCCAACCTTAACATCTAATATCTCAAAAATTAAATTATATTGACATAATGTTGAGGAAAAAACTGCTCAAAATAGTTTTTTTAATACATTCCCTTTTCAAATAGACGAGCTTGAAAAATCGGTTTTATTTCTAAAATACAAAGCTTTGTAAAATTTGTATTCAATTTTTATTGTATGCAGTCAAAATAAAATTTTCAGGACCGATTTAAGATATCTTTATTACTTTAAATATATTCTCATGGCGTTTTTTATTGGTAAATTTGGAATCTATGTAGATTTACTCTAGATCTGTTAAATTTTGTTGCCCAATCGAACATTTTTGGAGTAATCTAAAATTTTCATATTTGTATTAGTAAATAAACTAATTGAATTAAAATATTCACACTTATTTCTTTTTCTGTGTAGTTGTACACAACATTCATCAGAAAATCTTCGACAATACTTTTTTCAATAACACATATTTTTGAAAATATATATTCATCTGTATTTGTATTGTTATTATTTTGATTTTATATCTTTTTTCAATATGACAACCAAATTTTAAAAACAAACAAACAATCACACTTTTATATCTGTCAAATGAAATTGACAAAAAATTATAAAAACTATACTAAAAGTGAATCTCGATTAAAAAAGTTATTCCAGATTCACTAATAGAAAACACCAACTGAATAATATTTGTTTCTTTTTAACGCATTTCCACTCCTATGGAGTTTAGCATGCTAAACTCGTACTAAATAACTAAAATGTTAGTGTCAAATTTGTGCAAAAAACTTTATAGCATATGTTAATATTTAACTTTAGCAAATTAACATCACGCAGTGCAAATTAATTTACTAAATGTTAAATTCGAACTACCAATAGCTTTAGTTTGAAATACAAAACTAACAAAAAAAGACATGTCCAAAACGGCAATTTAGGCCGTGTGCAAGTTCAAGTAAATTGAGGTAAAGTAAATTGAAATTTTCTAGGGATTGCACTTATGTTAATATTTATTTATTTATTGCACTTATTTATTATTTTTGGTTAAAAGTTTTCAAATTTATTCATTACCTAATGTACCTAATTTTTATGTAATTTACCCGACTCGAAATTCTGGTCAATATTAATTTTCGCTGCCATATCGACATAATTTATTATTTCCATCAATTTGCTCGAACTCAGACACGGCCTTAATAACTTACAGTTGCTGTATAAAATTAAAATAGTATAACATGTATAACCTTTTACAACACTAAAGTGCTCTTTTGACGACATCAGCTGAGAGTCTTTAGCTATATTCAGCGAATGTCGGTAGAATAAGCAATCACCGATTAACCTGATTTTCTTTATTTAAAAGTAAATTACTAAAAATTCCTAAACAAGAAAGGATCGTGCTAATAGTTTTTCTATATATTTATGTTCCTTTAAGTAAATTTAATTAAAAAGTGTGTATTTTTTACAAATAACTAAACGCTCTGCCTACCAATTGTTAGGCGGAATAAGAAATTTGTAGATTTACGACTTATTTAAGTAAGACAAAACTAACAAAAATTTAAATTATGGTGAGTAAAAAAATTTATCCAGCTAAACAATTTATTACTTTAAATTTACACTAAAATTTTGCATTTAATAAACGCTGCAATATAACATAAATTAACAATAAATTAATTTTTGAATTTTAAAAGTAATACTATAGCACGAAATAATGCAAAATTTGCTTTGTTCGTTAGGCGTGGACTACGGAAAAATCATAAAAAATATTTTCTTTGTTGCTGTAGCTGTATGCACTTGGTCCGTTGAATGCTTATCAGTTTAATGCTGATGTAGCGGCTTTTTTGGGTACACAAATAAATAAAAGGCGTCATTGTGCGGTTTCAATAACAGCAACAGCAGTCGATTTTTTGCCTGACGGGGGTGGAGTTCAAAATTTTGTTAACTTTTCTTTTCTTGCAAAATTTTCGACAAAATATCAATTTTTCAATTAAACTCATTAATGTTATGAAAAAATACTTGTGTCCATTTATTCATTTATACAAGTTTCTATGTATGCAATTTATATATTATGTCTGATTTAGTATTTGTTGACTTTATTTAAAAGTTTTTATCATTTTGTTTTTAAAATGTTGCAAATAATAAAAAAAACTTTATAACTGTAGGATGGCACAGATGAATCGAATGTTATTGAAACAACTAAAAATGAACCATCTTTGCCTGGTAGCGATATCGGTGTTGGTCTGAGTCCGAATATTGCCGATATTGCTTCACCCTCCACAGCAGCAGGCTTAACTAATAACGGTAGCGGCACAGCCACATCGGAATCATCATCATCAGTAATCACACCTGCTGCAATGACTGATAATACTTTACATGTGGAGATCTCAGACGCTTTGAGCGAGAAGGACAAAGTCAAATTTACAGTACACACACGTACCACTTTGCCTGGTTTCGCGAAGCAAGACAACAATGTTGTGCGACAGCATGAGGAATTCGTTTGGTTACATGATCGCTTTGAAGAGAATGAAGATTATGCTGGTTACATAGTAAGTTTAAACATATGAAATTTAAACATATATTTAACATATGAAATTTCATTTATTATTATTCATTTTATTCATTATTATTCAATTCATTTATTATTATTTATTTCATTTATTATTCTTTATATTATTTATTATTAATCATTTCATTTATTATTTTTCATTTCATTTATCATTGTTTATTTTATTTATTAATTATCTTTTTATATATTATTATTCATTTCATTTCTTATTGTTTATTTATTATGAATGATTTCATTTATTATTATTCATTTCATATATTATTATTCATTTCATTCATTATTATTAATTTTATTTATTTTTACTCATTTCATTTTTTATTAATCATTTCATTTATTATTATTCATTTCATTTATTATTATTTATTACATTTATTATTATTTATTACATTTATTATTAGTCATTTCATTTATTATTATTCATTTAATTTCGTTATGGTGAAATAATTATGAAAACGACTAATATTGTATTTATGTACTTAACTAGTTCTAACAATTCTTTGCCCTGGCTTGGCCTGAAAAGCGTCATGTCACTTCCACAATTTGCTCACTGTAGACACAACAAGGTCTTTTACTACGACTTCCTCTGACTGCTTTAAATAACATATTTAATTAAATGATTTACTCAAGTTGATCCCTCCACAAATGACAGAATTTTTAACTATATCTTTTTCTTCTAATTTTTGAGCTGACATCAAAAACTTTATTTATATAGCAAACTGTCAAACTGTCACCTATTTGTAAATTTTAAATACAAAATGAAAATGTTTTGCTCTAGATTCCACCTTGCCCTCCAAGGCCAAACTTTGATGCATCTCGCGAAAAACTACAACGCCTCGGCGAAGGTGAGGGTAATATGACGAAGGAAGAATTCAAGAAAATGAAATCCGAGTTGGAAGCGTAAGTTTTAATTGTTTAACTAACATTAAATATTTAAATGAAAACAATAACATTGTTTACTTCAGTGAATACTTAGCCACCTTTAAGAAAACAGTAGCTATGCATGAAGTATTTTTACGGCGCTTAGCAAATCATCCTGTTTTTCGAGTTGATCAGCATTTAAAAGTATTTCTTGAGTACAATCAGGACTTGTGCGCAAAACCACGAAAGAAAATGGCTATATTTGGCGGTTTTGTAAAATCTTTAGGCAAGACCACCGATGAAATATTGTTTGGCGCTATTGTACGTGATGTCAATGACTTCTTTGAAAATGAATTACAATTTCTCACCGAGTATCATGGACATTTACGTGAAGCAGCGTTACGTACAGAAAAGATGACACAACGTCACAAGGATGTGGGTGAATGTCATCAAAAAATTTCAAATGCATTGATGCAATTATCAACAGCGGAAAAGGGTAGTATGGAAACATTTTGTGCTAAAAGTGCAGAAATTTTTGAAAAAATCAAGGTACATTAATTTGTTTAAATATATTGTATTATTTAGGGCCGTTTTGGTCTGTGAGCAAAATGGGCTTTGTTCTATTATGCACGTTAGAAAGCTTATTATTTCTGACGTGCGCCGATTTGTGTGAAGTTGCCTATTCTGAGCAAAGTTCTGCACTACGCTCTGTGCCGGTATAAGTTAGTTTTTGAAATATTAGGATTTAAAGTTACAGTAACAGTAACAAAAAATATATACAATTGTTATATTGATAACATAAACAACTGATAGATACGAAAACTTGTTTGTGGTTTTTAGGTGAAAATTTCTTACCTTAAGCTTCGATGCCTGGAGCATTACGGTTTATCATCAAAGAGCGTAGTGGAAGTTGCTTACAATATACAACTTTACTTAAATCCGTCCAGCAGTCAAATCAAAGGCTACTTGGCTATATTACTCAAAATGTAGAACCTTTGACTTGGTAAACAGAAGCAATTCAGATGTATCCAGGTTAATATCTGTTCTAACAGGACACTGGACTATAGGATAGACATGTGCACAATGATGTCTTTTCACCGCTCGTAGACAAGACATCAGAATACCTGTTGTTCTATGTTCAGGGCTGTTCAAAACCAGGCCTAAGCTATTGAGTGCCCCATTCTTTAACACACTCGATGATATTTCCAGCATCAGCGTTAGACAGATGCTCACATTTATTAATGCTTCCGTTTGATTCTAGCATAACCATTCTTCTACCCACCATTGTAAGGAATTCTGGATTCAGAACGGCTTTTTAGCTAATTGAGGAGAACACGTTCCTCCCTCCACTTAACCTAACCTAACCTAAATTCGTTGTTGGAGAGCTCGAAAAATAGGAATCATGTCCCCACATCATTTGAAAACTGCAATTATTAAAGTGCTATGTCGTTTAAGTAAATAGTTATATTGTAAATGCTAAAAGCTTAAAATTAGAGAAGTTTTCATTTTTGTTAAGGGTGTGCCGTCTTTAACTGCTCATAGTTGCCAAATTTTTTAGAACAGTCCTGATAATATTTATATAATTATATAGTATATATAGATAATAATATATATTTTTATTGCATAGAATTTGGAGGCACGTGTGGCAAGTGATCAGGATTTGAAACTTGGTGATACGTTACGTTATTACCAACGCGACAGCGATGCAGCTAAAGCGTTACTTATACGTCGCTTGCGTTGTTTGTCATCTTATGAGACTGCAAATCGTAATTTAGAAAAAGTACGCGCTAAGAACAAAGATGTGCATGCGGTAAGAATCACTTTTCAAAAATAATTGGGATTTTTTAATAATTTACCTATTAGGTTTTGGTGCTTTTCTTTTTAAATCAAAATTTGCTTCTTATATTTCATAGTAATATTTCTTTTTTTCAGTCACTTTTGTTTCTCTTCTTAGTTCTATAATTCTATAAAGTATTCTCATTTTTATATTTACGAACTTTTCTTTTATTTTCAATAATTTAAATGTTTAGCAAAATTATTATATATAAACTTTTTAATTTCAATTTCAAAAACTGTTAAACATCACTTCTCTAAAACGCAAACAATTAATGTTTTTCAATCCGCTTACAACGAACTATGTGCAGCCTTTGGAAGTGCAAGAGGTACTTTTTTTTTACTCGTTTTCGTATCCTGTTCAAATTATTTTAATGTTATTTATTATTTATTTGTTATTATTTATATATGTATAATTGTTGTTTTATATTTAATGCTATAAGTCTGTATAGTACAATGTTTTACAACTATGTATATGTTGCATTTGTGTGTTATCATGTGCATTTTGTACTTTATTTGTTTCAAAAGATATATTTAGTGTTGCATATATGTTCTTAATTAAATTTTTAAATTATATGTAATTTTATATTTGTGTTTAAACTCAACCAAACCCAACAATGCCAATCAAAATTATATACCTTAATTTGTATAACTTTAATTTAGATATTGCTAAATAATAATATTTAGTAAAATAATATTAAATATAATATTTTCATTTATGTCACACCACACTATGTATTTGGTATTACATACATACATGTTCTTGATTAAATTCTTCAATTATCAGGACTATTCTGGCAAAGATAGTTAAAAGTTCTTCGAAAATGTTTGAAAGAAAGACCGAAAGACAATTTGAAAGGTTATCGATATTTTGGCACAAAAGTCTTTTAGAGTTTTCAAAAGTTTTATCATTTGTAATTCTTTATTAATGTGCAATAGTTTATTATCATTATCTGAAAGATATGCTATATATTTTATTTCGTCTTTTGAAAGCCAGAAAATCGCTTTTAAAACATTTGCCAGAATATGAATCATTTTTCGAAAGATTTTTATGCTTCGTAAGACTATGGTGAGCTAAAAGATAGTTGCCAGAATTGCTATGAATACATAATTTAATGTTTGTGTTTAAACTCAATCTTACGAAACTATGCCAATTAGAATTATATACTTAGACTTGTATAATTTCAATTTAGGTACTGCTAATGAATAATATCGTTCCGATTCTAAATTGGCTATTTTGAGCAACTTTTCCCCACAATGTTATTCGTATAGCTTAATTCTTGAGACATCATTACACACGCCATCTAGCGCCAATAAATATGTGCAATTTTAAATTACACAATTTAACACATAATCACACAAATGACGGACTTATTCGCTGATGATTTTATGTAAAAATCTCAAATTTTAAAGCACTATATACCGATTATATACTATATACCACTATGTACTGAACCAATTTATATACATTTATTTAAATATAATATGCTGTATATTTTTGTATATACTTATCTTTATTTTCTATATATTTAAATAATTTATTAAAATGGCATTCAGCTCAGTTTGTTTACGTATATACGGGTTGTTTCCTGACAATGTACAATAAATGTAAGAGTTGATTCCTTGGTCGAAAAAACGGAAACAATTATAATAGATTGGAGACGTGAATTTTACCAGATATTTAAAAAAATCTTGTTTTGTAAGCGTTAATGACCTACAAGCAGTGCATTCATAGATCTTAATTCTCATACGATATTTGAGATATGATATTTATATTTAATTAAATGATAAATTATAATATAAATTATAATACAATAGTTTAAAATTGATAGGTTTGAATAATTTTCAACAATAATTTAAAAAAACTTTTTTTTAATTTAAAACTCTTAAAATTTCTGCAAATATATTTTTTGATTCACTTCTCATATATCAATTGCTTATTATTTTTTAAGAATCTTATATCTTTAAGTAATAAAGAAGAAAAACACAGAATGTCTTAAACTTGTAAAATTTATTCGAACTTACAGTATATTTTTAGGAAACATCCTGTTTGCAAATATATATAAATATATACTTATTATTATTTTTATTGTATTAATTATAACTGATATATAATAACACTTCATATTCGCTAGGGTTATTAAATAAGTTCTATTGATTCTACATTGTGTCACGAAATGTATTGGATGTTGCACCATCTTGTTGAAGACACATATAGACCAAGGCAAAATCAATTAATTTATGTCACAAAAACTCATTACTCACATATTAGTTGCATCTTTTAATAATATTTTCAGCATATAAACCACAACAAAGTATTAATTTTTAATATTATATATAATATTAATAAATTAAGTATCAGAATTAACATTCCTATCAAACCAAAGCATCGCAAAAGACTTTATTATAGAGATAATTCCTTTCTTTTTTTATCACTTTATTCATATATGAGCCAATTTTAGAGCCTAAAATTATCATTCTACCAGAATAAATCAAATGAAGTCGTAAAAATTAATTAAAAAGATACCAAATCGTTTTTTTGCTTAATTTGCAATCAACTTCGAACTTCCGTGTTATCGTACATTTTTTGAATAATATAATTAATTTGCACTGCGAATCTTCAGACATATGTATAATATGTTCTTAGAAAATAATTATTTTGGGTACTCGTATTTTAATTGCCAGAATTATCAGTTTTCTTCACTCGCAATGCGACATTTTTACTTATAATCACCAATGAAATAGTGTCAATTTCAAGTTGTATTACCGTCCGATTAAGACAATTTTTAAGTAATCAGTAGTAAATAAAGACATATTTAATGGACTTAATAGAACACGTTAATTTAAGTTAACATCTTACATAAAATTTACTTACTTATACCATTTTTCAAATGATCCCATTTAGATAGTTTTGCTCATTATAAATATATCAACTAATTTAGACCGAAAAATGTCGAATAAAACCCTTTAAAATAAATTTCCCACAAGCATTATTTTTAAAATTTGAAATATTTGTTATATGTTTTATATGCAAAATGTAAATAAACAAACTAAATGCATAAATAAGCTAATGCCAATGTAAACAACCTAAGTTTAATTTCATTAACATAAGTAATTTAAGCAGCAGTGGAAACATGTTATTAATTATTTAATTTATTTACTTAATTAAACCAAGTGAAAAAAAATTTGAGTAAATAAATAGACTTAAATAAAATACTACACCACACAAAAAAGTATATGTAGAAATGTATAATTGTTGTTCAAACATATTTTACCTAAGGTTATATATAGCATAGTGAAGATCCTATGCTGTACTAAAATTTCATAGCGAATCAAAAGAAACTTTATTGACAAGTGAGAAAGCAACCGTCTTGATACATATACACACAACTCTATATATAAATGCTAAACAATAATAATTACTGCAATATGGTAGATTCTTGTTATAACAAAAGATATAATGTCAAGACCTTTCGTTATTTCGAATGTATTTTATATATTACATTTATAATATAGAGAGGACTTTTTTGGAATTTTTATTATTTACAAATATTATATATTCTACTTATTTAAAGTATTCTTTATTTTTGGTAATCATTAAATCGAGAGTCTACTGTATATGTATATATTCATATTTTAAATTTTATTAAAAATATTTAGAGTAATTATGAGTTCATATTTTTTATATATTTGTGCTTTAAAAAAAGGCTTATAAATTGATTTTTATTTCTATTTTTATATAGTTATTTACTCGAAACAGCTGCATCGTCAGCCAAAAATTCAATTAATTAAAATAATATAAATTGAATTTTTATTGTTGTAGTTCATTACTCTTCGAAAAACCTCTTTATAGTTATTTATATAAATATCGCCGACGTTTCCAGTTTGGGGATATTTCAAAGTTAACTTCGGCTTCAAAAATGTTTCGAAGTCAAATTCTACTTCGTAGACGTTTCGAAGTCAAACATCGCCTTTGGAGATGTTTCAAATTGAACTTCAATATCATTAATGTTTCGAAGTCAAATTCTACTTCGTAGACGTTTCGAAGTCAAACATCGTCTGTGGAAACGTTTCAAATTTAACTTCAACTTCAGAGAAGTTTTGAAATTAACTTCGAAACCTCACCGATATTTATATAGATGACTGAATAAAAATAGAAATAGAAACCAATTTATAAGCCTTTATTTTATAGATTCACATAAGCCTTACTAAAAATAACCTATAAATTTTTGTGCTTTTGTTTATCGTAATACTAATTATATATTAAATAACTGTAGTACATTAATATCGCAACTGTAAAAAACATTGCATCCGTTTTCAACTTTCCTTTTTTTATTTTGTTAAAGTCTTGCAAAATGTATTTAATTTTTGAAAAAACAAACATATTATTTAATTGAATATTAAAATTTTATATTTTTTATTTTTTTTTTTTCCAATCAACGAACTAATCAAAGGCTGAAGCTGCACAAGCCGAAGCTTGCGAGAAATTCGAATCAATGTCAGCTTGCGGTAAGGAGGAATTAGTTAGTTTTCGTAATCGTCGTGTACAAGCATTTAAAAAGGGGTAAATTCTTTTATTATAATGTATAATTTCATTTTAACAATAACAATAAATCTTTTTACAGGTTAATTGAATTAGCTGATCTTGAAATAAAACATGCCAAAACTCAATATGAGTATATGCGTCAATCATTGCTAGCTCTCAAGGAAATCGCATAAAATGTTTTTAACGTTATTTTTTTTTTTTTAAATCAATCATTAATGTTAAAAATTTTGTTTAAATATCTGATATAGATCTTGAATCAACTGATCAAAAGCAAAAAAAATAGTTAAATGCGTTCAAAAATCTCGTTATCTTACATTATAATTTAAATTGTATATATAAAAAAGCAAAAATTCATAAACACTTTTAAACAATTATAAACAATATATTACACATTTACTTTTTGGATTAGTTAATTTTTTAAACGCATTTAACTAATTTTAAACTTGGAATTATTTATTTAATAATAAAATTTAATTGAATATATATATATATATATATATATGTCAATTGTATTACGAAATACTTTTGATCAAATGTATTTTCAAAGTATTTATTTTACTATCAGGGGAAATAAAGCATAAAATCATTTCAATTTATAAATTCCAAAGACTTATTTAAGGCTTCCCTAGAATAAATTGTTTTAAATAATTTATGTGTTATAATTAAATGCTAAAATTGGTTTTTTAAAAACTTGAATGAAATTATTATACCTGAAAGGAAATTTGTTGAAATTGTTTTTTATATTTAAAATTAAAAATATATATATTTTTATCCCGTGTGCTTATCTTATCAAGCTTTTATGCTTTATTTCTTTAGATTAATATTGAATTAATGTAAACGAAAAAATAATATTGTGAAAAAATTGCATATAACAGAATTCAACATAAAATTCACATTAATTTATATTTTAAATATATATGTGTGTAAAATTTGCTTATGAATTTATTAAATTTGTTAATTTCGTTTCCTTTTCTACATTCCTCATTTAGAGAAAAAAATTGAACATTCAAAAACGAAAAGTATATATACACGATACATATATAAATATTTCTTATATCTATAAATAAATTGTAATGTATTAATTTTTATATTAAATATTTTGAATATTAATAAATTTATGTTATACGCAAATAATATGAATTTTATTTATAATTAAACAATTGGAATGACCCAAAACGGATCAAAATACATCAGTTGAAGAATATAAACGTTTCAAATACCTTATAGAGCTATTTACGAACTCTTTTGAATCGACCATAGAGGAGAATAGCATGCGAGCAGCCAATCCAAGCTTTTAAAGTCTAAAAAGGAGCTTATGATCCAAACTTAAAAAGATATTACGGCTGATAGCAATATGTTACCTTAAGAACAAAATTTTAAAGATATCATTGGTAGATCGCATACTCAATGAAGAGATCATCACATGATTTAGGAAAAATGGACGATTATGTTAAAAAAAAATAATCCTACTGAAGATAGCCTATTTTGGATATTTAATATATATTTCATAATGTATCTATTTTTAATTAATTATGAAAGCTCAAATTGGAAGTAAGCATGTCAGTTGTTATATGTCAGGCGCATCGGTAATTAGTGCACCCTTTAAACAATAGAGGAAAATATATAAAAATAAAAATTGATGCTGTTGATTGAGTTATAATACTAATTCATAGACTATAAAAACAAAAAAAAAATTATCACAAGCGGTGCACCTGTTTTCAGCTCATTGTACACTAACGGCAATCAGTAATGAATTGTAACAACAAAATTTTTATTATTTTTATTTAATTGAATTTTTGTATCCAACTATAATCCGAAGAAGAGTTCGAATAAGTATGACAGTGTATTCAAATTTTCTTAGCATAGAGTAGTATTAAATTTGATTTTAACTTCAGAAATGACGATAGCGACTATTTTACTTAATATAAACTATTTTATTTGAATCCGTTAAAGCCATACCAGTCAAGTACGGCTTTGGATCAGTTGGCTAATGAACACTGGCTCTGAACTTGAAATTTGGCAGGGCACGAGTTCAACCTTTGGTATTTGCAGTCTCAAAAAACTTATTTATGAATAATTAAATATAAGAAATAATTCCAAGATCACTGATGATGGGTATTTAGCAATACTCACAACCAAAAATTCAATTATTTAAAATAATTTAAAAAAGAATTTTTGTTGTAGTTCACTACTTTTTGAAACCTATCTAAAATAAAAATATCTGTACCAATACGACAATTGTCGTAAAACTTTTCAAATGCAACATCATCACTCACTAATCATCTTCTGTGGCTTAAATACAGAAGATGATTTTTTCTGTCCAAAAAACAGAAGAAATCGTATGAAAAATATGGATTTTCATATATATCTTATTATATACCCAGATAAAAGCTATTAATAAAAATTATACCCAAATAAATCCTCAGTTAAAAAGCACTTAAGACCGATTTCACAGTAATAACTTAACTCTCAATGTCTAAAAAAAAGGCATCAACTTTGCTGATTTAATTTATATTTAAGTCAGTTTAGAGACTTAAGTAACAACTCTCTAGGATCAACCATTAAGAGTTATTAACAATTCTAAATGGATTTCTTAAAAGTGAATCATTTATATTCAATTATTTGAAGTCATAAACCCATTTTTAGTCCATTGAATTTCCTTTAATTCCACATCTAATATATTCACGTCTCTGTATTTCCAAGTCTTTTAAGACTTTTCTGAATATTCGTAACAGCGAAGTTTTAATTCAAAAAGAAATACTATCCATACTTACGGACCTATTCTGTGCACTTGACAGATTTGTTAAATTCTTTAATAAAATTTTTGATTTTTATAAAGTAGAAAGCTTTCATAGAAAACTATGGTGTAAAGTGTTTTGTATAGAAAACAGTTCGTAATTGTTCGTAACTGTTCGTAAAAAATGCTTGTAAAGAGCACATATTTTAAGTTACCAAAGGTAACTTTCCATGCATTCAAATAACAATAAAAAATATGCTTGTAAAGAGCGTATATTTTAGTTAAGAATATTTGTCATGCATGCAAAAAATAAAAAATGCTTAAAAAGAGCATATTTTTATAGTTGTCAACAGCATTTGTAGTATTAACAACTAACAAGGAACAGAGCTTTTTATTTACTGTCACAGAATACCAAAACCTTTACAGTAGTCAATGTTTGACAAGTTTATAAAGTGCACAGAATAGATCCGTTATTCGTTATAGTAATAAAAATATAAGAAAGAAAGTTTCCAAAAACTTATAGTTTATAATGTGATAAGTGTAGATATATCTACACGTATAAGTATGGTTCAGTAGCATTCACGTTATATGTTAAAACTAATGGGTTTTAGAATTATTTGCCAATAACGGGCTATGAATATGTCCTTTTGCAAATATAATTTTGCAATATACTTCTTTTTATTTTAAGTTAAAACCAATGCCTTCTAATATTTTATAACTATATTAGTTATATAAATATATTTTCTTAAAATATGTTTATATTTTTTTACTACTTTGATATATCAAGTAATTGGTTTATAAATCTACAGTAAAAGCGATTTTATATTAACACATATTTAACAGCATTTTGACTAAATTAAACAGGCAATGCATTACAACTTGTACATTTTTTTGAATGCCATTATATACCAAAAAATTGTTGTACCGAAAGTGCTGCAATAGAGTATAAATATGCTGTGGTTCTACTATTTACGAAATTCAGCAAAATTTTAATGCTGCCAAGATACATAAGTGTTAAGCAATATTGCAAATTTTTCGTATTGTGAATCAGTCACTTGCACTTTGAATTGTCTTCTGAACATAAAAAGAAAATTAATTCAAATAGTTCATAATTATTATCACCCTGTATTATTATTATTAATCGTATGGTCAATTGAAAACAACTCAATACATCTGCACTATTTTATTAAGTTATTAATATTGTTAAGAGATAGGAAAAGAAATAACGAGTTTGGTGATTTCCCGTTTTTAGTTTTATTTCGCTGATTACAGACATACAAAAGTCTAAAAAGAAATCCATTAGAAAATCAGGTTCTAATTCTTCGACGTTCTAATGTCGAATAGTCGAATAATTAGAAAGCATCAGATGTACCCTATGGTTCTACGAACTGCCGGGTCTACGTCTAGGAGCCACTCATCAACCACGACGACCATGTGCCGTTCACTATCTTCCAAAGGGCTTTCACGTGCAGTTCACCGCAGGTCACAACAACAAAAACGACGATGCCCTATCTGTCTAACTTATTCAGTTTCCAATATTGTTTTTAATCTGAGGACTCAAAGAAGAGAAGTATTGTACTGTGTCGACATATTATTCAACAATTCAGCGATGACATAAGTGTAAATTTGACTGAATTAAATTTAATTGCACTATAAAAAGAATAAATTTCTGTTAGAAAATTTATTCTCGTTTCAAACAATCATAAATTTCTAGAGAATGCGAATAGTTTTTGCCAGAAAAGTACTACAAGAAATGATTGGAAGATAAGGGAGATTGGAAGATGTGAATACTTTAAGGTTCTAAAAGTAAATGTCGCTTATTATATTTTTGAAAATTTTTTGTCTATTAAATGCTTTTTCGGTTGGTGAGGTTTCCTTTATCCAGGTGCCTATTGTGGATATGTCAATTTAAATGTCTGCTGAAAATCTCACCGATTTTTTTTTATTTATAGACACTTATAGACACTTCTAGTATTAAACTATTAGTATACCTCTTACAAGAGTAGGTAGTTTGCAAGATTATACTAAAACGATAAGAAGTGCTCATGTTCTTCTACATTTCTTAACTGCAATACAAATATTTACACACTGTTAATCAATGATAGCGAGGTTTATAAATAAAGAGGTTTATAAATATCATTCTATGTATTCTTAAATTTAAAATATTATTTTATCAATTTTAGCCACTGCGGGCCTGATTTCTATTTATTGTATTTTATATATGGTATATGTTTTATTCTCACAACCCCAATATGTATTGACAATATTGTTAAAGGCTTAAAAAAATAGTAATACTTTTTTTTAATTCCATTTCAAAGATTTCTGCTTGGTACATACACTATAGACACTGCATACTACTACTTAATATACTAAGTTTATGCATTTAAACTACTAATACACATTTTTCCTCAAATTAATTAAATTAATTAAATAATTCGATTATGTTATATTAATAATTCGTTTAGATTAAAAATAAACGGGATATTGGATCCTAAAGAGTCGGAGCACCGCGAACTTGACAATATTTTGAGCTAATTAAATTAATAGTATTTTCTTATAAAATAATATAAAAAAAAATAATATTAAATTTTTCTAATAATTTAAGTTAAATGCATTTAAACGACAACCACACTTCTTTAAAAAAATATATTTATTTGGCTTTTAATAATTTATGAAATATATTAACTATAATCTAGCGTTAATCTCTCTTCTTGAATCCATGAGGCAGTAAATTATAGATTGATGTACATAGTACAGCATCACTACTTTCTTTCGGAACTCCTTCTTGATCCTTTGTTATGTAAAGCGATATATCCTCATTTGCAAATTCCATAATAAGCTGACGACAAACACCGCACGGAGTTGTTAGGGCAGTTTCTTCATAAGCCACTACAGCACCAGATGTAAATTCTGTACAACCTTCACTAACTGCTTTGGAAATTGCAGTACGTTCTGCGCAGCAGGTGGGTGTATAGGAACAGCTCTCAACGTTACAACCAGTAAAAATACGTCCACATTTTGATCGAAAAGCCGCTCCAACTTTAAAATTACTATATGGGCTATAGGCGAATTTCTTAACTGTTATTGCAGCCTGTATCAGTTCGATGGTATCAGTTTCTAAGATAGATAATACAGGGTAATAAATAACAATTTTTGCAATCTACTAATTGGTATATACACGAAAAATACATATGTTTATATAATTTAATTTATTTCATCCAAAAAAAAAACTAAACTGACCTAAATCACCGTAATTCCTTACTTTTTCCTCATACTTAGGCTTTCTTGAACCACTTATTGCATGTACATCCATTATTTAATACTTCTTTTAGTTTGAAAAATTTTTTTAAATGATTTAATTAATTATTTATCTAATATAATAGATAAAATATTTCACTTATTTTTAAAAATTATTTTAAAATAAATATTTCGTAAATTTAAACAAATTTATTACAATAGTGCGTGTACTCATGTATAATTGCGACGACTGCCTAAGAGCAAATGGACAATATTCAGTATTTAAAACGTTTATACCACAATGTATAGAAGGCAGTAGTTCTCTCTCTTACCAAGTCTTTCAGTTGTTCCCATAAATAACTTTGTCATGACAAAACACTTCACAACAGAAACGCATTCAAACACACTATGTCCAGTACGTACTTCTTTGAGCAATAAAAGTTCTAACAAAATTTTATTACCCGTACACCCCTAATTTATACAGCTTTGTTTAGCGTGATATGACTATGACTTTTGACTAGTACCGGAATCGAGATGTGATGGAAATAGAAATAAAATTTCATCCCTATGTTACGATATGCACCCTCATAACTCGAAGTGCTTCTTTTTCTTCATGATATAAATGCCAAGACTAGAATTGTAGGGTATTTAGTGGTATATAATATGTTGATAAGAAAAAAATATGTGAATATATGTGTATATATATGATAAAATGGCAAGGTTAAGTGAGTGCCAAACTACACATTTTAAGTGGAAGAGTATAAATGCGGGGGTAGTAATAGAATTTTTATAAGACTTAATATGTATGTTCAAATATATTATATTTCACTGGAAGGGAAACTAGTTATACTCACTGGAAACTACTTACATAAAGTAAAAAAATTCGACTGCAAAGTAGGGTTTTTAAAAAAAAAAAATCCTTAATAATATGTTTTCACTGGGTTCGTTAGACCAGTAAACTTACTTAAGATTGCTTGAATTACTTGAATCTTAGAATTCAGTTGGGGCTGTAAGGGTAAAAGCGTGTGCGTCAATAGAGGGTTGATACGAATATATAGCTTAGCCTTCTCAACTGTCAACCTCACCTAACCGAGGCGCATCCTGTTTTTTCACATACGAGGTTCTGCCGACCAAGTACAGGTGGTATAACCTGAAAAAATATAGTTGAGCGGAAATTCTCTAACTACTAAACACCAATCCTTTTTCTAGGTTAGCAAATAAGGAGATCTGACGCTCCAATTTGTGGGTTGATCGCAAGTCCAGGAACCTTGCATCGTAAAAATTTTACCTCTACGCAACCTTTAGGGAGGCCAAAGTTCACACTGCCAAATAATAAGAAGAAGAAGAATCCAGTTGAAGTGAAGACGAATATGCGAAGTAGACGAAACTGAATTTCTATTAAAAATTATGACATAGTTAACTATCATACAATAACTTTGTGCTGAAAACATTTGTGGCTTCAAGAAGTTCTACGTTAGTTCTATTTCTTAAATAAAATATCAATATAAAAAGAAAGTTTAATTACATATTGTCAAATATGATAACTAAACGGAATGATAACTAATCTAATAACTTTCATGGTTGCTATCACTGCTGGATTTTGTACTGTCTATTCAAGTTAATCATCTTGCAGAAACTTCAATACGTTATAGACAGTAGTGTGTCTTTATAAAAGATTTTTGGTTTTTGATTTTTATTTTGTGCTCGACAAATTATAACGTGGGGCCAAACTTTGTCGTCGGTGTTCTATCACAACTTATCAAATAGAAGAAAGACATTTAAAGTATTGTATAATGAGAACTCAAGCACCTCAACAATGTTACGATGGAAGAATCCTTTATAATCACTAAATTCCACAACAGATTAAAAAAAATTATACCATCAAAATTAACTAATTCAGAGGAAATATCTGTGTTTATGCTTAAAATATTAAAATCAGTTAGTATATAATTTTCCTTATTATACTATGCGTATATTATATATTAGTAGTTGCCATTGTCTTCTTTGCAAAGGGATGCGTTACTATCACTTACTTTTTAGGTTGAATATCTCCATTTCTGGGACGTGCCTTCTATGTCTATATATTGGAAATATCATCTGATTATTTATGCAGTGTATTAAGTTAAATATGTCTGTTATTGAGAATAGCAGGCATATTATTGAAAATAGAATATTTACGTAACTATATTGTAAAACATTTCGAACCATTGATTGAGAAAACTATGTTTCGCAGACAATAAGAAATGCCAGCAGATGGCGCGATTTTGATTTTGGTACAATAATTGCGAATTACTGTAATCTACTACTGACACCGATAAATTAACTTAAACGAAATTAAAGGGCAATGAAGAATTTTCATAAATAAAATCTGATGTTTGGAAAAATACTATAATAATTCCTTTACTAAATCTATGTAAACAAATTGAAGCCAGAGAACTATATAAGATAATTTATTTATAAATAAAATAACCATTATAGCCATTTTCATACTAGTAAAAGCATTACGAATTCTCTTACTAATTGGTTATTTTTGACTTGTCGATCTTCAGCACCCTTCACTGAAACATTAATAAGATATTCTTTTAAACAGTAATAAGCATTGGCCAACGAAGCTATGCAAACGTTCCATACAAATATTGGGACTTGTGTTTATCAAGTACCTTCATAAGTGAAGTAGTGCAACTAATCTTAGTATTTTACTAATCCTTAGTATTTTACTAAGGCTAGTAATCACATCATCACATTTTCAACGACATCCGAAAGTTCCATGATGATAATTTAATTGTTATCAAATATAATCATAACACAATCAAATAACAATCAAATGAAACTCTGGCATATAAGGTATAATAACCCAGTTAATAAAAAATTGATTAATCATAACACATTCTCTACCGATCAACATATAGAAAACAACAGAATTAGAGTAGTGCAGAAGTATGAAAATATATGCAAGTACGATTTTAATATGCTATAAAACCAACAGAAACAATTTTGTGCACTAGGTGAGAATACTTTCCGGAACACTTGTTTATTAAAAAATCAGAAACTAAGATTCTTGGAAATTAATAATACAATAAACGAATAACCTCTATACAGCTTTTTATTTATCATTAATATGTTCTATTAACAAAATTATTAAAAACCAAAATATAATTCATATGTTTGACATAATAAGTCTATAATTAAGTCTAAATATTTTAACAACTTAAAACAAAATAATTGCTAGAATGTTTAATGAAAGTCGTAAAATAAAATACAGATGTCTAACATAATTTAATAGCAATATTCGATTAATAGTCTATAGATATCAAAGTGCATTACGATTAATAGGGCATGAAAAACTTTTTGGCAAAAGCCCCATTACACTGGTGCATAGCACTCGTAGCGGTGGATTAATTGGTACTGTAGCATATATAGATATATCTTTGTTCACAACAAACTCAGAAAGAAATTGACGACATACACCACAAGGTGTAGTAAACTGATGTTTTGCATCTACTGATGCTACAACAGCACAATCAACGAATTCGCGTTTACCCTCGGTAATAGCTTTTGCTGCAGCAACACGCTCCGCACATATACCAGCAACAAAGGCGCCATTTTCAATATTACATCCTGTATATATTGAACCATCAGTGGTACGAATGGCAGCACCAACAGCAAAAGAACTATATGGGCAGTAAGCGTTTCTACGTACTTCTATTGCAGCATTAATTAACTTCTGAACGTTCACATCTGAAAGGAATTATAAAAAACACAATTGTTATTATTGTTCTTTAAAACGGCATTATATTTAAATTGTTGAATCTACATACAAAATAATTAAATTGTAATTATTTGCAGAAATTACGCAGCATTATGGCTATTGTGCCACTTGTTTATTGGAAAAGTTGTACAGCATACTTCACTTATAAATTATGTATGAGTAGTAGCTAGCAGATATAGTCTTGGATTTTGATTTCTTGCATATCATGTATGATTACATGTTTCGATATACTTATATGTATATTATATATTTTGAAAAACCGCTTTGAATACAAATCTTTAGCAGTCATCTTGTTTTTTATATCACTTTATTGCCGCTGCTACCGTGCTTCAGAGAATGTTTTATTGCTTTTGATTATCAAATTTGTTTAATTGCATAAATTCCAATTTTTTGATTATTTACCGATAGATTAAAACATTTATTTCATGAAATATAATTTGTGTTATATATTACTTACCCAAGTTATCGTACAATTTCACATAATCTTCATCATCCTTCCCGTTTACAAAGAATCCCGCCATATCAAATTATGTTAACGTAACTATAATTTTTAACATATTTATTAATATAAAGACCTTAATTGATGAATTATGACTTATTTATGTATAAGAAAATAATTTATAATTCGCCGCAGCATCAGCTGTTAGAACAAATTTAAAATTTGACTTTCAAAAAGATTTATCCGCGGAATACTGCAAATGTTTTATACCTACATTAATACCAATCATTTGCGTTTAGAGAATTTGGAAGCTACTGTAATTAATATTTTAAGGACTATTCCAAGTATTTTTAACGACTATGTTATTCAGACAGAATAACAGTCATGTCAGTTTTACGCTTCTTATAATTTGTTAAGACTAATGCCATTTTCGATTGGTAAATCTAGGGCAACTTTTTGAATCAAGATTCACTTTTACAGCAATTTTCATTTTTAATTGATAAAGCTCTGGCAAAATGTACAACTCTCAAGATTTATTTATAGCACTCTAGATATTTCGCCAGAGTAGCAAGATTACCATGAAATTAACAGCTGTTTTATATGACTTGAAAAATAAAGTCAAATCAAATCACGATATGATATATGTATTTGTAATACGTAAATGTTATATTAATTCACAGATTTACAGATCGAGAGTAAATCTAGATTGAATCCAGATTTACCAATCGAAAACGACATTAAGTTCGTTCTGTTTTGCACAAAAAAAAATTGACATAAAACTCTATATAAAAAAAATGTTACACATAATTTGGACATTATAGATAAATTTTTTTATATGCAGTTTTATATCAATTTTTTGCGCAAAATTTATATCAGAACTAGGCTTATTTTGATACTTTTTGTTTATTCCAAAATTCAAAAAACAATATATTTAATGTAGATACATAAATATAATATAAATTTCTTAACCTGATACCTTGGCAATTGTTTAATTTCTTAGTGCCGTAAATCATACAAATGTACATTATTTTACCTCTATTTTTTAGATATTTGTCAAAATGCCTATTGCATAAAATTTAAACATTAAAAATTGTTAATAATTTGATGTTTTTAAAAAATTATAAATGAAGTATTGATAGAAATACAAAGCTCAGTAAAAGAACAAGTTTTTAAATTCACCGCTTTTATTATTATTTTCCTACCATTTTAATACAATCAAAAAAATCAGCTGTTTCAATTTCAAATAATTTCAAATAATTTTTCAAAAAAATCAACTTTTTTGAAAAATTATTAAAAGGGTCAGTTTTGTTTTTTTTAAAATATTAACTTTTATTTCGATAGTTAATTTTTAGTGTATTTCTATACGTATTTCGTCAAATTCGTCTTTGCTTTCATTAATTTAAGAAAACAAAACCGATTTAAAATAATTTCGAAGTAACAACTCAAAAATTAAAAACAAAATTACATATTAAAAGCAGATTACCGAGTTACAATGTTACGGAGTTAAGTCTGAATAACTATATTTTAAGACAGCACGATTGATTTTAGTAATAAATTAAACAACCAAATTGCAAGTACATATGCATTTTCAATGAATTAATATAATTTGATATTAATTAATTTTCAAAAGTTAGTTTGAATAGCGATCTACTATAATAATTATATAAACTTAAGCAATTGTTAGCAAGCGACATATATCAATAATAGTAAATTAATCGAAGTCATAAAGTATGTATTTTTAATGCAATACAATATTTAATTATTTTAATTAAAAAATTTTCTTTTTTGTCTGTCCGTCCTAGAATTACTTTATGTCAGACGGCGGCAAAAATATATACAAATAAATATTTTTGTGTTTGTATTGTTTCTGTATCAAAGCACACAACGACAACAGATATTATTTCAACAATGTCAAAATAATATTTTATATATATTTTCTTTGTATTATATCTACAGTAAAAAAAGTTAATACACTCGTTATGTAAATTTGGTTTTTTAAAATGTTTGGTTATTAATTATTGTTACAACACACAATATAAATAGTAAATTGTATTAAAAGCCAAATACATAATTGCAAATAATTTTATTGCGAAAAAACACAGTTTTTGCTTGTGATATTTCTGTACGCAAAATACACTGTGCTATATATTAGGCGTATAGAAAAATAGACCTCTGCCTTATAACTTTTGACCGATATATAATTTATAGTAAATATGAACAGTGCTATATTTAAAAGAGAAGAGAACGATTAGAAATTGTTGAAACTGAACACATATGAACATGTATGGGTACGTGAATATATATACAAAACTAAATATGAACTATATAAACCATATAAAATGGTCATGAAATATAAACTCAGTTAATAGAGAGCTCATAGAAATTTGAGAAAACTTGTTGAACTCTATTACATTTTGTTCGCGAAATTTAAAATTACATATATGTAGTTGATAACACAGTAAAATTTGTAAATTAAGCACTTCGAACATGAAATTAAATACACATACGTCTAAAACGTATGTTTATATTTGCAAACAAATTGTTTGTTCTCATTTCATTGAAATTATTTTGTGACGGTTTTTGGGAGTTGCATGTATACCTTTAATTTAATATATATTATGTTGCGTCTAGACATTTTTACTAAAATTCACTATACCGACACAAATGTCGAAAACAAATGGACAGACGATGTTTTGCTTTACCGAATTCGCTGCAATTTTTTTTGACAGTTTGCAAGGTTACAAAATAAACAATCAATAAAAATAAAAAGATTACTTATTTGTAAACAATGCAAAGTGAACTTTAGAATTTTGTAATTGTACATTCTAGAAAAATTGTGTAAAATAATTTAACTAACATTTATTTTAGAATGCCTGAAATAACAACTGTTTCCAACAATTCGCCAGAGACTGCTGTAACAGTTGATTCAAACGAAATGAATGACAATATTCCATCTATTAACTTTGCAGAAGATCGCTTTCCTTATTGCATTGTGTGGACCCCAATTCCAGTACTAACATGGCTTTTTCCAATGGTCGGACATATGGGTATTTGTATGTCCAATGGTGTAATAAGAGATTTTGCTGGACCATACTATGTTTCTGAAGACGATATGGGTTTCGGTAGACCAACACGTTATATACGTTTACATCCTAAAAACGTTTTAGGTGGTCGAATGGAATGGGATGAAGCAGTTTCAAAAGCATCCGTTTTATATGGTACACGTATGCACAATTTGTTTTGCGACAACTGCCATTCGCATGTGGCAACCGCACTTTGCGGCATGCGTTACAAGCAGAGCACTAATTGGAATATGATTATACTCGCTTTTTGGATGTTCTTCTGTGGCCGTTATGTTGGCTTTATGGGATTTGTGAAAAGCTGGCTTCCTACCTTAATTGTTATAGCAGTATGTGTTTTATTGGCTTACTATTTTTAGTATACAATATTTATTTCACATTTTATTTAACAATTTTTCAACATTAATGCATATAACTATATTTTAACTTAAGATGTATATAAATAAATTGAGTATTATAAAAAATGTTAAAATAATGTTAATTGTCATGGTTTTTAATAGTTACTAGTTATATTTATTTATTCAATTTATCCCATTTATAAAGTAAATATGTATAGTAGTAAAGCCACAATATTTATTAAATTTGTCCTCAATAAAGAAATAAACACTGATTTGCTTATAAGCAAACTTACGCTTCCTAAATTGAGATTAAAAACAAAAGCTTCAAACAGTAACCATACGAAATATTGAAATAAAAACCGAAGAACGTACAAATAAATTCATTTTTTGCAATTGAAACAAAAATTCTACGATAATCAACATACTCATTTTACTTAAGTTGACCATTTAATAAGTTTTAAGCATCAATATAATTTATTCAGACACTTTTATTACAACTTCAAGTTATTAAGTTTATTGCTCACACCAACCAAAAATATTGTTTAATATTGATTAATTGTGTTAAATTCAAGATATTCAAGTCATTAACTTGCAAAACTTTAAGTTGAACACCTAAATTTTATGGGTTAGGGACATCTCACCATCAATCATTAGTTATAATTTACTTTGTGTTATAGATAAAAAAAGCAATCAAAAACCATAGCGTAAGATTTGAACCCACTAAAACCACATCTTACGAATGTAAAATGATCAAGTTTCAGCCATTGCAACGTAAAGGTCAAAAACTGAAACTAGAGTCCAATGATTGGAATGGGACTAAGAGATTATTTACTAACATTGAAGTTGTAACGACGATTGCAGAGCGAGCTAACAGAGAAAATGCAGACGATGTCATTCAGATGAAGGGCCAGAAATTGAAAAGGTATATACACCTACCTATACCTTAAATTACAAGGTAGAAAACTAAAAAATCAAGCCGGATAAAAAATATCAAGGAAATGATAATGCCGCCTGGTAAAGCATCTTCGCGTTAGGGAAAATTGTTGTTAAAAGACTTGCAGATGCGGAATTATGAAAATGTCTGCCATCAGGACTGAACATGTTGGTAGTTAATGCAGTCTTGAAGCAATCTCTTTTCAAACTCTCGAACGAGTTATATTTAAGCAGATGATATTTCGGACCGAATGCAAAATAAGCATGCAAAGAATAACCGTATTAGTTGCTTATAAGAAAACAGTTTAGTTTGCACGCAAAGAATTTTTATGATCAAGGCATCAAAAAGTGGCATTCTTATGACGTCACTAACGTGCGAAATGAAATCATGCTTAGGAATGAAAACAACTCCTTACTATTTTAGCCTATTAGTAAGGCTAATGACAGAGCTTTTAATTCGAAGATTTGTGGTTGGCGATTTAAAACCCCTAAGACCGTTGCTAAATCCGTCAAGAAAGGCAATATATAGAATATAGATACACCTCTCTGTATAATTTATATTGTCTTATATCTCAGTCTATCTTGAATAAAATACAAAAACGAGTTTTAACGAAACATTTTGAACGCCTCTAAATTTATTTAAAGAAAAGCACAACCAGCATGTCCCAAATGTATGTATTTTATATATTTCATGAGCGCGGACGAAATATCTAGTAGTCTAGTTCCTTATTCTTAGTTAATTTTAAAATTTATTTTAATGTTAACTCAATATTTATTTATTTATTTGTGTATGTTATAAATATGCAACATGTAATTATATGATCAGTTTGGATTTATAATAGATTAATGCTACCAATTCACGAATAAGTTGGTATTGAAAAATTGTTATCTTATGATAAATACATTTCGCATGAATTGATATCACAAAACTATTAACTTAAAATATTAATGAAGAAATTTGACTTATTGTGGATTCACACAAGAATTTTGAATGTAATTTTAATTCTCAAAAATTGCAATTTAGTTCTCATTTTGCATTGAAAGCAACAAAAATTGATAGCTAAAATTACTGACAAAATTCTCGTCTAAATTGATATTAAATTGAATTTCTCTATTAAATTTGTGAAGAAATTTAACTTTAATTTTAAATGTCTTTATTGCTATTTTCTTCTGTTATGTTAATTAAGCAAATACTGGATAACCTGCTATAGCAACATAATTTTAAAATTTTACTGAGAAAGAATGCCCTATGTTTAAACGTTTGTCGTTTCATCTCTTAACCGAATACCGGGCAAAATCTGAATACCTCCATTTAGTTCAGTTATAATAAATAAAAAATATTTAAAAATACTCAAATTTTGCATAAATATTTCTACAAAATGTTACGCATGACCAGAGAAAAGACTCACATATACCGTAGCCAATGACATGACATGAAAATGGTAAGTGGGTTTGATGTTTAAACAATTATTAGATTTACGTGTATTGTGCACATTAATTAGTTTTAATGTGTTTTGTTTTACACAACAACAATTTTTTCAATTTAAAGCAGGTAAATAAAACAGACTTTTGTATATAAACATTGTGTTTTAATGCCTTTTTAAGAATATCTTTTAATTTTGCTATATCGTTATGAATGTTATTATTATACTTATAAAATTCGAAAGAAAATAAATAATTATGAGAGCATTATCTTTTGTTTGCCGTCGTTTGGTATTGATTTAGTTATAAAATTATTTAATTTAGAATTTTCATTTTTATTTTGTCCAGCAAAAGTTTAATTTCGACAAATTCCAGGCTTTTAGTTTGGAGAGTTATTATTTTTTATTGAAAAAAAAAATGTAATGAATCAATAAACTTTTCACAGATATTTATATTATATAAAGATAACATTTAAATTTATTATTTTGGTCTGATTACAACAATTTGTTGATACGTGTTATCAAAAAGTGTTACATCTATCGTTAGTTAGTTGAGAATGTGGATTGCAAACAAACGGATAAGTAGTCTCCAGATAAAAACCTAATATATGATGAATTTCTGATGCGAAACACTGATAAAAAAATTTGAGTAAACTAATTTTTTGTTATTTATTTAATATAACTGTAAAAATTTCTAGTTTACTATTTAATAATTACGATTTTTCTGATATATATCTGATATATATATATTTCTCCAAATGATAACCTGCTTATACTATGTTTCCAATCTTATTAAGTTACTTAAGATAAATTTAAAATCGTTTCCATTCGCATAAGTTAGTTATTATATGTAAAAGAGTTTTTATATGTCAGAAAGTTTTTTCAAAGTTTTAAGAGAAGAAAACTTTATTTACATTGTTAGCAAATTTGTGAAATTGTTCACAACATTAATAGAACATTTACGCTCTATTATAACAATCTCATTTATGCAGCTGATAGAACTTTTATAAACTTCATTTAATAATATTAAATTATACATTATATTAAAGAACAAAAATTTTATTAAATCCTCAATACCTTTGTTTACAACTCAGCTGTTGTTTGTTTTTGTCTGAATTTAGTAAATTTGTTTATATAATTTTCAAACTTCTAATATTAGTAGTTAATGCTAAATGAGCAGTATTTAACACTGTTTTAGTTTTATTGCAATTGTCTTATAACATTTTCCTTTTATTATGACGATTAAATTTTCTATTTATTCATATATTACATTTTTTGATGAACATTTACAGAAATTATAAATCTATTAATAAATAATTAACGAATGACTTATTCACAATTAGTAAACTGTTAGTCATCTTCACAAATTTTATTAAAAGAATCTCTTTTTTTAAATATTTAAATTTATTTATTAACAATCGCAACAGTGTGCATTAATAATAAACAAATTCCTTTGTCATCTAACAGTAAATTTTCATTTTCTTTCAAAAATCATTCACAATAGATCAGTTTTAACATTTGACACTATTTTTATTTTTGTAGCATATCACAAAAGGAACAATGGATTATTTTAAAAATAACGTATGAAAAAAAATAACGTATTTAGTCCAACCATTTTGAAATAACGTAACTAATAAGTTCAAATCGTATGTTGCCAAGAATAAAAATTCGTCTATTGTGAACTATTTTTGGAAGTACGTACAAAAGATCCAGTGAACTGTAGCCGAATGATTTCGTTAATTATTTGTATTTCATGTCGTCATTGTAACGTAATAAACACGTTATTTTTTCTATTTATTATTACGCTGTTAAAAGGCATGCAATTTCATATTTAATTCACAATTATGTAAAAAATAATATACTTACCAATAATTGCAAAGAATTATTATACATTCGTGTATTATTATACTCGAAACTTAAAGTTTAAATTTTGTTACGTGTTTTGGATATGTAAGCCTAACAAAATTTCCGTTTTATCCAGAGTTGTCATTGAAATCAGTGCTTATTTTAATTGTTCTTTTGCAACATGCTTACAAAGGTAAAGATCTATTGTAATGCGAGTGGCTGATTTAGTAAGCAGTTTTAGGATATTAGACTTATTTTTGCAAATTTTGTTTTTGTTATGCATGTTAATTTTTAAACGATACTTGTTCTATTGGAGCATTAATGACGAAAGAATACACCTATTAACGTATACTAAAAATATAAATTATAATAATATATATAAAATATAAATATAAAATATATAACAAAATATTATAAAAAAATAATTCTACTTATATTTTATCTGTTTATGTAAGACGATATGTAAATATTATTTATCTATATAATTTTATTTTATAATTTTATACAAAATATATTATAATTTAATATATATATAAAATAATTTATTTTATAATTTTATGATAAATAGATCTACACAAAAAAGTATGAGAAGCAACACTGTTATTTGACATTTAAACATTATGAAAATTGTACTAAGTCATTTGACTTTATCAACACTCACTATCCCTTGTTGGGTTTTATTTAGCAATTGGTATCGGAGTCAATTAATTGAATGAATGCTAGTGAATGTTGTGTTTGGCTGATATGTGAAATATCTAGAAAATTACTCAGGGCAAATGTAAATCGCATTAATACGTAAATAAAAAAGTCTGATCAAGAAAATCCAACCGTTGCGGTGTTCAGAGATTATCGTTTAATAAAAACGGGATATTTAATTAGTTCAAAGAAAATTTTCTATATTCGTGTCTGCAGCAAGTAACTGTTAAAACGAAAATATTTATGCAAACCCAAAAAACTCAAGTGTATCAATGTTAAAATATTAAGCAATAACATCAAGTTAAAAAATTTTTATTCAATAAATTTTATAAAGGTGAGTGTAGTGCTGATAAATTTGGAAAGTTTCAGAAATTGACGCGTAGTTGACATAATATTTATAAATTTCCTAAAATTAACATTTGCGTTGCTAGAAAATTTCTGTCTTAATTTTATTTTACTTTAACTAATAATTAGTTTTGTTTTATTTTAAATTTCTAAAAAATAGTTACTATTATTATTAATTATAATTAAATGGCGTGACTGAAATGGATGCAATGTAAGCTAAAACATAAACCCAGTTCAGTCACAGAAACTGTTCAGTTCTTTGTTTATTCTTCCCATATGTGTTGCTGCAGTTCTGGTATCGAAAGCAAACAAAGAGCAAACAAAAACAACTCAATTCGGTCGGATATTCTTGTTTTGAGGAGATGCTGTTAAATCGTTTTGTTGCTAGCATGACCGTGCAAAAAGATAACTGATGCGCAGCTATAGCCTGCGTGCGAATAATTCTACCTATTTATATGTACTTATATATCTAAATAATTCTATTAGAATTGTTAATTTTATAGCACCAAATCTAGTGCGAATAATTCATAAAAAATATATTACGTTTAACTTGTTTAATACACATGTGTGTATCTAAGGTATCGACAGACAAGTAGACAGACAAGTCTGTTTAAAGGGTTGTAAATCCTCACCATTCCATTCTTAGCCCATTCCATTTCGCAAGTATCAGTTAAAGGTTTTTTTTTTTTGGTACCTAAACGCTGTTTCAATAAAGTTGAATTATTATGTTTATATCTTTGCTCAGACGTGCCCTCATACTCCTTATACACATCTTAGGTATAATTGTCATACTTTCTACCTCCCTCAAATACAACTCATATTTTATCACAATATTTATTCAAAATTTCGATTTTATTTCTAAGCATTTTACTTTGCCACATGCTGTGCCTATGTGCAATATATTAACATATTACAGAAAAGTGGAGTTCAATTAAAGTTTAAAAATTAGCTGTACCATGTTTCCATTTGTCTCATTAACGCCGCTAATGAGAATAATTTACCATACAAAGTGCTGTTATATAAATGAGCTCGTTATAAATAAATTACCTAATTTAAAGCGAAAAATGTCGAATGTAATACTTAAAAATAAATTCCCACAAGGAAACTTACCAAAATTCTAAATATTTGCCATATGTTTTATATGTAAAATGTAAAAAAACAAGCTGTTTTACATGAATAAAACGCTAAAACCCTCCTTTCTCTCATAAAAATAAAGGAGAACCAGAATAAAAAGTATTACTAGGCTAATATACCAGGATTAACACAATCCAAATCACTTATTGGTACCTATAACAATAAGAGATACCAGGATTGTAAGAACCTATCAAAAGAAAAATCTAGAATTATCACAGGAATCCTAACAGGGCACTGTAAATTAAAATACCACCTCACAAAATTGTGTACTGCTTTTTATAGACGCAGAAGGGCTTAGAAACCTACTTTAAACCCAGAAAGGACACAATAGACCCGACGGTTGCAGCGCCACTTCCCCTAACAATAATAATAATAATAAGTAGTAAGCCTTAATTTTTTCTTTCAGAGTTGTAAAAAAACACCATTAAGTCTGGTTGAAACAAATTAATATTTTAAAACTAAAATATGTTAAATGCTTTGTTTGATGTGAAAATTGTTAACACTAAAAATTAATTAATTTAAATAAAAGAAAACAAATATTTGAAGGGCATTGGTTAGGATTTCTATCTTGAATATTTAAATTCATTTATTTATGTATTTGAATTTATTAGTAACTGAAATGCTCATACGATTTTAACGGATAAGTGGAATTTGCAACATATTTCCAGTGCACATTCACAATAGATTGATTTTTGAATTTGGCTACACTGAAACTTAAGACATAAAATTATTTGCGAGTAAAATATAACTCTGAGGATTTTAAGAGCATTGTTGTTGCTTTACATGTTTTCTTTCGTAAGTTGCGAGAAATTTTTTGCTACTCTGTAAGAAAAAATTACGGATATTACTAAAAGAGTTTATGCAGTTCTTACATAGATCAATGTACTATTTGGGTTTTGTAAAGAAAAGTTCTTTCCGGTACTGATGTAAAACGAGAGAAAGAAATCTATTTAAACAATGTAACGCAAACATACTGTCCAAATCCATGAAGTAAGTAAAATAGATCTTGTGGTTTCAGATTCTATTCCTTCCAAATTAAAAATTTTGAGTTCACTCTCTCTCGGTTTGGCTTGTGCTTATGGTTGCTTTGTAGAACTTATGCCTGGCAGCTACCACTTATATTTTAGACTGAAAAAATTCGGCTAGACTTTGCGTCAAGTCTTTAAATGTTCTACTTTCCATCTCACTAGTACTAAAATTGCTGCGTAATATGTCATAAGTTTCTGGGCCTAGCCAGATCAGAAAAAATGATTTGGAACGCTTATTATTTACAGAGTATGTTGAAAAATGTTGCTGTAGTTGTTCTAAATAAGTTTTCGACTTATGCAACTACAAAATAATAATTTCCAACTAAAAACCCCAGATTTTTAAACTTATCTCTGAGTTTGGAATTCTTTTTACATATTTCATTTCAACAGCAATGGCATTAAATTAAAACGCATTCCAAAACTAATTCTTTTCATTAAAACATATTAAAAAGCTTTATGCTAAGGTAAAATATATTATGCCATGGTCTAACATTTAATTTTATAAAAATTCTTGTTATCGTAATTTTACAATGTTTATGTAATTTCAAAAAATAAAAAAATAATGAATCTTTTGTCTTTTGCATTAGTCACTTATATATTAAATTATGTATTAAGCAATGTAGGTTTCTGCTCTACATAACTTTATGTTTTTTCCAATTTAGATAAATTTAAAGTTATTCTCTTCCAAAAAAAATTAAATATTAAAAATATGATTGCTTTATAGTTACAGAACTTGATATAAAATTTATTTCTGTACTTTTTCTAGTGATTTTAAAAAAAAATTTTAATAAATATTATTATAATTGACTTTTATTTACGATAAATAGATAGGTTAGGTTATACCGGCGATTTTTAGGTGAACCACTTAGATTTATTGGGCCATTATGATACCGCATAGAGAGGAGACTCAGGGTTTAAAACCACCTAAAACCTATGACGAAGCTTATTCTGTTTAGTGAGAGGTCTTGTAATGGATCAAGATTCTCAAGAAATGTAGCTCCTAAAGTGTTAAGTAGCCGCCATATATGAGCTGGGCAAAGACAGTGTATACGAGAGGCACAAAGTAAATAAGTAGATAAGTTTTTTGTATAATGCTTATAGCTTTACAGCTGCTCTATGATTGTTTGCATCAGATTTTAGTACATATAATCTTTTTAAAAACTGTAAGAGTATGTGTATTGTCTAAATCTACCCAGTTGAAAATGGATCGATATGCCAATTAACGCATCTTTAAGACATGTAGACATACACATGACCCATCTGAATATATGTCAATCACTGATCACACTTTCAAATAAAGTTAAGTGTCTTATAGATAAAATGTTTCCATGTTTTGTACAGATTTCGTGACCTCTCCTCTTTGTCCTCTCGTTACCCAGTTGCTCTTTAGTTGTTTATTCTGAGTTTCTCTCTACAATGCATTGTGACTTGTGAAATTGTCTAGTAATGTGAACATTGTTCTCATAAAAACTTGAAAACAATGTAACTGTTATCTGGAACAACTGGGTGAATATATTTCTCACTTGTCTTGTTTACTATACCATATATTTCCAATTGAATTACAACTATTTCCCCAAAATGATTACACATACGAATCTTGTTTTTAATACTATTGATTGTTTAGTATATGTCAGATTTTTATATGACCTACTCAGCTGATAATCAAACACCTTACTTAAATTTTTTTTATATAGATTATGAGAGGTTACACAGTTGCTAAGAACTATTCGCGCGACGTGTTATTTCTCTCGTGCGAACATTTTTTTTAACAAAATATTTTGTTTGAAATTCATTCGTGCGTGCGAAATCGAAGGTGGAAACTGTGAAATTGAGAGATTTATGTTGTTTTCATATAATTCTAATTTTATGAATGGAAATATATTTGAAAACATATGTTACTTTTAGGAAATGGATTGCGATTTGCTAATTTTTTTGGTTGAAGAACAAACAAACTCTCCCTTTTTATAGCTTGATAATTACAAATCATGCACCCAAAATATTTTATTATTTGAAATAAATTAATAATTTAATAACCGCTAAATACATTTCATCTTAACTATCCATTTTGTTTTCAAACCAAATCAAGCAGAACTGTCAATTCGCAATCAATGTATTCGCAACATGTGACGTGTTCATACAAAAACATATGTACGAATACACAAGACAAATTTCGCATGCAATGTAACCGCAACCTTATTTATTCGAAATTCATTCGTAGTCACCACAGCAGTATAACTGCTTCTGCCTCTTTTTGTAAGTATAAGATTTCTTTATAGATTTAAGCTTTAACTCACTTAGATTTCACACAAACAATGAGAGAAAATACACGGTGCTTGACATCCCGGTAATCACAAATACTCAAAAATTATTGATACTCGCTTATAATCTAAAAAAAAGTAGTGATGACGTTTTAACTATACTTCAGAAATTAGAAATTCATGTAATACTAAAGTATTGATTGGGCACAATAGACCCGACGATCGCAGCGCCACTTCTCCTAACAATAATAATAATAAAGTATGACTCCACATTTTATGATTCCATAATCAATATTAGGTTTGAAGGTTTGAACTTTAGTTTGTACAAAATTAAATAGAAATTAAATTTTTAATTCACAATTCAGTATACACCCACAAATTAACACCACTTTGTTTTTCGAGTGGGTCAATTTTCGAAAATTGAAGTGATATGAAAGTGCAAAAAATATAATAAAAGTGAAGACGTAAGCTTTGGTTTTATCGGAGCTTAAATACCCGTTATACACAACTTTGGATATACATTGTGTTCTCATTTATATGATAATGCATATATATTTAATCTATTATAA